CCTAAACATTAAACCAAGGACCAACTCTTTGGTCCTTAGCCCTCACTCTGCTGTCCTTTGAAAGATTTGGAGATATCGGAAGATGACATATATACCCTTCCCCCTTTTTCCTTCGTAATAGTCACTCATATACACATTCAGGATATCAAGACGAGAAAAACGAGATTTGATGGATAGAAAGGATTCGGCATGAGGTTGTAGTGTTCGTGATATGTTTTTCTGTTTTTCTTTTTTCTTTTCGTAGGCGTAAAGAGTTCTTAGGAATTACACGATGGGGTGATGTCGTCTCATGATTCCCCCTGACTGGGATGCAGTCTCCGTAAAACCACTTTGTCTTTACGCCCAAACCAACCCAAGACGAGAACCAGGGGCGCCGCAGCTACGGCGAGGACAGCCTGGAAGATGAGAAACTTCTTCATGTTCTTGGGAGGATTGCCGTCGGCTCCGGCCACGAGCGGGTCGCTGACAATGACGAAAATGGCACCGAAGAACTGGCCGCCGGCCCAGGCTGCAGTGGACGTGACTTCCGGGCTGATGGGGTGACTCAGATCGGCGAGGAACTCGACGGCGATGGGCACCAGGGCGAAGCAGCCTGCGCCGATGATGGCGAGGATGACGTATGGGCCGGCGAGACCACGAGTCTCGGGCATCCAGATGAAGACGATGAAGCACGCTGCTACGATTGGAATGATAATCTTGATCGATAGGAGGAAGTGCTTCGTACGGTCTAGGATGGGGGACGTGATGGCTGCGGTAACGAGGCCTACGACGATGAGGACTGCGCCGCCAATGCCTGCTTGGTCGTCGGTAAAGCCGTATGGAACGAGGATCTGGTTGAGGAGACTGGATACGGCGTTGAAGAGGCCGACGTAGACGGAAAAGGTGCCAAAGACAAGCCAGAGTTCGAGAGAGCGGATGGCTGTTCGGATGGCTGGGAAGAGAGGCATCTTGGGCGTTTCTGAGGAGGCTCCTACGGGGGTGGGTGGTTTGGCGGGGATGAAGAAGGCGGTAACTGAGCAGGCAGTGGACTAGATGCTGTCAGTTTGTACTTCCTTCATAAATTGAGCAATATGGGTAGAGCCAGAGCCAGAAGACGAGATAGAGCTTACAATGATTGCGACGTAGAGCACCATCTGAGAGACGTCGCGAGACGAGTTCACCCACAGAGGGTTAATCAGTTGTCCAAGGGCTGCACCCAACGGGTTTGCTAAACTGGCCAGAGCAGTCGCAGCCACACGCCCACGGTGAGTGAACCAAAGATCGGAGTACTTGGCGGGTGTGGCAAGGACAAATGGTTGGGCGAAGCCAATCAAGATCTCGCCAACCATTGCGCAGGCGTAGATGCCACCCGACTTCTTGGTCGAGCCGGCGTAGCGGATCCAGTTACCGACGATGAGCAGCACGGCAGCGGACATGAAGCCGTACTTGAATCCGCGGTTGACGATCCAGATGGACAGGGGGAAGATGGCAACGAAAGAGAGGAAGAAGGCGGTGCTGAGCCAGTTGATTGCCGAGGAACTAACGTTGTAGTAGGCGGCAGAGTTGTCGACGACGGGAGCGTAGGTGAGCCACTGGAGATGGTGTTAGCTGCTATGCTTGAACTCGGACGAAATGGATCATGATCTTGAACGTGAAGTTCTTCCCTGTCCATTCATGATTGCTCAACTTACCCCCCAAGAGACCATAATGTTCATGAGCGTGAGCTGGATGAGGCCAAACCACCGCCGCTTATACGTGCGGTACTCAGTCGACGTGCCATTCTCGACATCAGGATTCCGCTCGTCGCTGCTGAGGGTATCGCGCTCCTGGAGGCTGAATTCCTGCGACGAGTCTTTCTTGGAGCGCCAAAAGCGCAGGGCATCAGTGCTGCCGGCCGAGTTGGACAACTTGTGGAAGACGCCGCTGCGAGGGGTTTCGACGGTGTCGGCCATTGTGGTGTCTGTGGTTGTGATGCCCTCGCCTAGTTCCTTTGCGGCGCTTGCCATTGTGCTTTTGTAAGATTGAAAACTTCCGGAGGCGACCTTTTTTCTCCTTTATCTGAAACAAACGCCTTCAGAGGGCTGTCGATCTGGCGGACTGGCGCAAGTGTCAGGCAGCTGGTTTCACGCTTCAGATGCTTCGAAGCAGTCGCCAGCCCACTGCCTTTATTCTTACCCCAACAAGAGAGTTAGACATCCACCGCCTCGGCTTATTCGTCTTTTAATGCCCTCATCAACTGGATTGTTATTCACAGTCCAGCCTTGTCTTCGTCTTTTCTTGCTGAGCCCCGAATGTCGGATCCTGTTGGCGGGTTGAGTTGCTCGTGTGCGGGACCTGCCAGCGATTCCGTCGACCACGCAGTTTACGCAATGCGAACTGCAAGCTTATTTACCAAGACATTGGCGATCGGCCGAGGGAAAAACCAAGCAGCACATGAGCCGACCAAAGGGCGTAGGAATTGAGTGGACGGAGAGCTGCAGCCACCAAGCAGAGCTATTTGAGGTGTGGTATGTAAACATGCGAGGACAGAGTTACGGACGAGGGAAATAAAGCTCGGGCTACGGAATGGACCAACCTACATGGATGGAAGCCAAAGAGCTGCTCTTCACAGGCTGCTGCAGTCGCTAGGATTGAAATACGCGAATCACCTTTAGGCGGTTTGGTGGCTGCTGGAGGACATGCCCGGAGGAGTTTAGCGGCCAGCGGCATGGCTTGCATAGCGCTGGGGAACTTTTTTGGGTTGGGTCTAGTGTCTTCCAAGTTGTCTCAGTCTCAACCAAACCAACACCCATCGTTGTCCTTCGGCCTCTTTGCCCTCCATGATTCTCGCCGGGAAGCGCCACAGGGTGCTAAGCAGTCACGGGGAATGCAGTACGAAGTGCTAGCAGCTGCTTCACGATCGGCTCGAGTCTATTTCGGCATCAATCGAATTACTCCTCACTTCACATGCCACTTCTGCTTGACGTCCTGCAAGAGTGTCCTGCGAGGCAGCCGAACGGACCCTGCACGCGAGCAAGCGAATGTTGGGGAACCACGGAATCGGAAAGCTGGAGAGCAGCCGAACTCCGCGTCTCTCGATTGCTGTTGGTTCTATTCTGTTACAGCAATGCCGCTATGCTGCTTTGAAGCAATCCACGATTGAGCGCGCATTACTCGTACGAGGACTTGCAACGTTTGCAATCCTGATGCTTCAAAGGGTCAAAGCAAGACGTCGTGGAGCTCTCCTAGCCTGTGTCTTCCGCCCATCCGTCAAGATCTGTGACATCGACAAGCTAAACTGCCTGTAGCATCCATAGTTGGGCACGGACCGTCCAGCTTCTGGCCTCGAGCCACCAATGCCGCTAGTTGTGACGATACGATGCGGAACCTCGGAACAGGGGACATGTAACGGCTAATTTCCATCTTCACAGTGACATCTAGCTATCTGGCGCAGGATTCGCCAGTCCTCGTGCCAATCACAATCGCCACAGCCCGTTTGCCAAGGAGATAATCTCCTGGCGGCTTCCAGCCGTGTAGGATCCTGCCGCAGGAGACCTTCTACTCAGATGAAACTGCGTGTCCTTCTAGCCACAAAGCTGGAACATGTTGGTGCCGTATCTAGCGTCCTGGTGCGTGTGGAGAAGCGGCGGGGATGGCACCAAAGTCGGGTCAGGCGCCGGTGGGAGGGTTGCAGTTCAGAGCACCGAGATTCGCTGCGCTGCATGGCGTCCAACTGCATCGCAGATGAGGCGTGATTGATTGCTGGTGCTTATCATCGAGGCGGGGCCCGAAGCGACCGCAACCCGACGTGCCACAGAGTGGTCGAGCAAGATCGAATCATTGGCTGGGCCGCTGATTACGAGGGATGGAAACTAAGATGTCTGGATGCAAGGGGCGACAAAGGATTCGCCTGCAAACTGCGCCTCGAATGATGAAAGCTGCGATGGTCTTTTCTCGGGGAGGAAAATAGGAAATTCTTTTTTCCTGGTTCTGGAGACTCGACGTTACGGGCATGGAGATATCATGTCCAACGACGAGGAAATTTTGCCATTTACCCTCCTTCTCTCCTCGTCCGAGACATATGGTCTCCTGCTATCGTATCATTGCTACCATGCCTGCAGATGACCTGCGGAATCGGAATGCCAATACGAAAGTGAGCCTGTCATCGTCACGGCGCAATATATGGCAGCAGCATGATATTGTGGTTGATGATGATGCTATCCCCCTTGGTTAATCCAAGCACTTTGGAGCCCGATACATCAGACTGATAGCCATCAGCCGTGAGCAATATATCATGTTAACTTCCTTTCCCTGGAAACTCTCGCAAATGATGGTATTTGCACCGAAAAGACTGATACCATGCGACAGGCAATCAAGCACAGGGTGATACAAACTGATAAGCCAACTTGGTTCGAATAAGCCATCTGTCTCAGCCAGGTACAATTCCAACCTTGCAAAGAGGCCGTGTCACACATACGGCGGAAATTGCTTTGTCCTCATTTTCTGGCAGTGCTTCTCCCATTACATCGATTCCATGTATCACAACATGATGTTGGCGGGGCAAATCAACAGGCAGTCAGACGTTTTCCTGTCTGTATGATTAGTCCAATGTCCACCGATATCTGAATATGTAGTTATCGTCCACAGATCTCCAATCGTACAGGCATTTTCATTTCATTTTGTACGCCCTGTCAACCAGCTCATTCTGCAAATCTTCCAGTCATATGGATTACTTGTTGGCGATGCATGCTCATCATATCAAGATCCAGACTTTGCCCTCCGTGTCTTGCCAACGTCAACTGAGACATGGAACAGGGAGCCATGTCTATAATCTGGCAAACGATCCAGATGTCCGGACTATTCTTGCCGATGATAAAAGATGGACTGAGACTCCCCTTTTGCATTCTGTGGACAGTGTTCTTCTTTGCCTGATTCCCATCTCAGAGTTGATAGTTGATATACCATTGCCTACTCCTCCCCGCAAGATATCCGCCGTCATCACATAACCCTTTGATATATCGGGCTTCATATTGAGAGTGAAAATGGATCAGCCAGAAGACAAATCGCCTGATAAAGTCGAGCATGAAAATGCGCTGGAACTAGCAACTACCGAAAGCACAGGCCAGGCTGTCGAGCTGATCCAGCTTAATCCTCAAGCTGTGCCCCGTGATATTGGGCCTTTTCAAATCATAGCCCTCGGCTTCAACATCCCCAACAGTTGGGCCGGCGTCGCTACCGCGTTTTCGGCCGCTCTAACAGCTGGAGGTCCCGTCTCGCTGATCTATGGCAACTTTGTCATCACGGCCATGTATGTGTCTGCAGCCGTCACGCTGGCTGAGCTTGCGAGTGTCTATCCGACAGCAGGTGGGCAATATCATTTCACGAGCATCATGGCGCCCAAGAGGTTCAATCGATCCATGTCTTACATCTGTGGCATGATAGCGACGGTTTCGTGGATCATTTGTTCCACAAGCGTGGCTAGTATTACGAGTCTGTGCATTTCTTCGATAGCTCAGTTTTACAACGGATACAAAGCAAATGCCTGGCAGTTGTTTCTTATATCCCAGGGGCTGAACATCTTCGCCCTAGCCTACAATTTGTTCGTGTTGAAACGGACTCGATGGATTCATGACGCAGCGTGTAAGTCATTTCTTGTTTGGCTTTCAACAACTGCACAATGGATTTGCTCATGACTAGAAAATAGTTTTCTTGACTCTGTCAACATTTATCACTATATCGATCGTTTGCCTTGCCCGGGGCGATAAGCAGTCGTCGACATGGGTATGGACCAACTTTGAGCCGTCGTCAGGATGGCCTCCCGTGATATCCTTCTTCACGGGGCTCACTACTCATGCATACATGTTTGGAGGGCTGGATTCTGCTCTCCATCTCGCAGAAGAAACGCTTGATGCTTCCAGAACGGTGCCAAAGGCGCTTATGTCCACAATTGGGATTGGCTTCTTCTCCGGCTTTGTCTTTTCTGTGGCCATGACATATTGTATCCCCAGCTTGGACATTTTTGCCAATGACCCGTCAGTCTCCTACTCCCTTGGTACTTATCTATTCGTGATAATTGTACAAATTGCTGACCAAGGACATACGAATTTGACAGAGTGCCGATATATAAACTCTGGCGCATAGCTAGCAAATCCGATACCGCTGCCACAATCTTTCTTATTGTCGGTATCGTAATCTTCACATTCATCCTCGTCGCCACGCAGCAAACAACATCTCGTCTCATTTGGGCCCTAGCCCGTGACCGCGGTCTTATCTTTTCCTCTCAATTTGAGAAGTTGTCTACCACCCTTGGCGACATCCCTGTGGCTGCCCTTATTCTCGACGCAGGGCTGATATTCGTCTGCGGATGCGTCAGCTTGGGCTCCTCGGCAGCGTTTAATTCGCTCGTCGGGGTGTTTTCCCTGATGCAGATGATTTCGTTTGCGATTCCGGCCGCGCTGCTTATATATCGCCGGAGGAGTGAAAAAGTCCTTCCTCGTAAGAGAGCATTTAAAGTGCCTGAGATACTGGGTTGGGCTTGTAATATTGGAACGGTTATTGCGGCGGTTATCGAGACCGTCTTCTTCACGTTTCCGAGCGTTTTGCCAGTGACTGGTAGCAATATGAGTAGGTTGACAACTTATCATACATGATTTGATTCGTTTTCTTGACGAGCGGGATGTGCTAACGTTTCATTTTATAGACTACGCCGTTGTCGTTCTGGCGGTGATTGCAATTGTCATGGTTGTAAACTGGATTGTATTTGCTAGGAAGCATTACCAAGGCCCTAGGATAGGAGGTTTCGTGTAATGAACCGAAAATCCTTTATCAATGGCAAATGGATACCATAACTCATCTTGGCAATATTTGCCTTTATATAACAACGAATTTGTAATCTATAATACACCCTTTTACTCCGTCTCTCGTCTAGTTACTCTGCTTCGTCTTCTTTGACGAACAACCGCAGAGATTGAATCTTGCGACGCTGGGATCGTGGTCGCTGACTTGGTCATCGTTATTCTGCCAGGTATTCAAATGCAAATGCTCATACTTGGCGTCCTGGTGCAATCCCTCGCTCACGTACATGTGATCCAGCTCCTCGGTGTTCATGTCAAAAAGATATGTATATCTCTCCACGGGATCAATTCCAACAACTTCGTCAAGATCAGTGAGGCCGGATATCGAGGAGAATGTGGTAAGAGGGTCGACTTGAGAGTACTCGTTGAAGTCACCCGCAACGAGGATATTAGCCGTAGGATCCTGGCTGAGAATCTCGGCGACAAATTTCTATAATGCTCATGTCAGCATCTCAGTATATGGTACTTGGAGAAAGATCAAGGACATACCGCCACGATACTGGTCTGTACGGTTCGCTTCTCGACTCCTTGGTTCACAGGCGGACGAAGGTCACCTGATAGAGATGTTGAGCCTCCCTTGCTGACCAAGTGGACATTGATGGTGAAGAAGGTCTTTTTGGTACCCTTGACGGTCTTCCACGCGGCTGCCAGTGGCTTCCGGCTGCTATCCCAGGCGGCGTTGAGAGGGTCGATTCGACCGGGGTTGTACTTGAGCTCCGGGCCGTCGAGAACCTCATTGACATCAAGACTTCTGCCGAGATTGGGCTTGTACAGCTGAAGGACGTCAGAGCGATAGAAGTAAGCCTGGCGAATGTTGCCGCCGGGTTCTCCACCGTCTTTATTGTTGATGGGGCTGATCTCTGCAAAATCGTAGACAATGCCCGAAGCCTCTTCGATCTTGGATGCAAGCGTGGTTAGGGTGACGTTGGCATCAACAATGCCGTCGTTCTTGTTTCCGGAATTGTCTTGCACTTCTTGGAGGAAGATGAGATCAGGAGTGCGCAGTTTGTTTACGATGTGATCGACAACGAGAGGCAGGTGAGGGGAGTCGGGCATCAAGTTTTCGGTGTTATAGTCGCCAACGGTAATACCAAGACAATCACCAGTGCTGTTGAAAGAGACAGCGGGAAAGTCGGTAGTGGCATTCTTGAGGGGAGAGAGGTGAGTAAGAGGAAGAAGACGGTAAGATCCAAAATCATTGTACACAACGCCGGTAATGTCGCCGAGATAGTCGCCCATTCGAGTATCAAGCGGGTTCTTGGAGCCGTCGAGGGGAGTACCAATGGTGATGACTTCGGGATTGGCATCGCCCTCCAGCATAGTCAGACCGCCGTGAGCATTGAGACCCGTGACAGGCCAGTTGCCACGGATGTAGACGTCGCCAAAGTTGTTTGGGCGGCTGATTTGGTAGGCATCTTTGATGGTGACGTACTCGCCTAAAAGACTCTCCCAGAAATCAAGGCCGTACAAGTTAGGCTGAAGCTGGGTATTCGTGCTAGAGATGTTGGCTACAGCATTAGGAACGCCAAAGATTCCTCCTTGATCTAGGCTGGAGAAGTCCTTGGTTGGAGGGAAAGAAGTGTCGATGCCAATGACGAGTGGCTTGACTTCGTTTCCGGATGAGACGATCTTGATGTTTGTGGGCTTGTTGATTTCAGTCAGATAGATATAGTTGGCGTTTGATCTAAGTTGTTCAATTATTATAAGTCTCGCGACTGAAGGTAAGATACGATTAAACACACCGATACTCTACGACTAGACCGTCTAGAGTGATAATGTCGCCGACTTTCACCGTCTTTGCTGCAGCGCTGTTGAAGACGAAGAGGCCTTCAGACGTGGTGGGATTCTCATCAGGCTCCGTGGATCGAAGAAAGATGCCATTGCTGTTGGTTGCCGTCACAAGACCCTTGATATCGGTGACAGTCTTGTCTTTGAACGGCGAAATGTAGCGGTCACCGTTGATCTCGGCAATTGAGATTGCAGCAGCTGAGCCCAAGACGGCTGCGAGAGCGACAAACGACTTGACTGCCATTATGCTGCCGAGTGGTGCTTCTGTTGCCTCAAGGGTGAGAATCAATCGAGGTGGTCACAGGCGGCCTTTTGTTCTACTGCCCGCCAAGATTTTTATTCGCATCATGCGCATTTCTATGTGTCTAACAAAGTCCTATTCAATACATTCCATGGCGGACTAGACCTCTCAGGCCTGGAACATGGCATTCTTGGCAGCTTTGCGTAGCGTCTATCGACCTGCCCGTTCAGAAATATCGATGCCACCAGATCCATTCATTTACAACACGTTTTACCCGAATATCGATCGGCCACCGACGCTCGGGATCAAGCTCCGGGAGCCATGCCCGATTCTGCAGGTACCAAGAAAAAGAGCACGACTGACAGGACATGGATTTGGGGGGAGAAAGCCAATAGACCGAGGCAGTGAGCTTCGGAGCTGAGACTGTGTTAGCAGGGACTCGATTGGCTTGGCAGCTTTTCAGGTGGCGGCTTACCGGGACTTTTGATGGCCTTTTGCTTGACCGACTGACAGAATGGGGAAGACGGCTGAGAGAGAGTGGGGATGATTGGAGTCGACAGGATAAGCTTAACAATGATGCTTGAGCTAAAACTTTCCGTTGATCAATCAATTGGTGGAGGGGAAAGTGAGGGTGCTTGATTCCCTGTTGTCGCCGATAGAAAGTGAGTTTCTCGTCGTCTGTTCACCATTGGCCTTCTCTCGCCGTCATCAAGCCTCTGGTGGTATTCAATGTGCGCGTGGTAACGCGCTTCTTGTTCAAAGAAACAAGGTTTTGCCCAAATGCCTCATCCAAGTTCTTCATCGTCTTCTTTCCAGAGCAGCAGTAATTCTTTTTTTTTTTCTCTTTTTAAATTTTAATTGCATGACCAAGACAAGGAAATTGTTGCAACAGATTGTTCAGCCGAGTGTAAATATAGACACTCAGAGTCTGATCTCCCCACAACCGAGCTCTGGTGCTAGTAAATGCTCAAAGACGATTGAATCGGCACCTTCGGCAAGCATGAATCGAACAATTTTGGCATTCGAAGATGTAGTCCGGCATCTGTTCATGACACTCGTCGCATCGAAATGCGCCCCGGCGAGATGTCCAGTTCCGATGCGTGCACTGGTGGTTACGAACCAAGTGGTTTCTTGCGCGTTGCACAAGAGCAGCACGCCGTGCTCCTCCTAGTTGTTGTCCGTCTGCATCTCGATCAACGAGAACATTTGCTCGATCGATCAACCGGTTTTCATCCCATTGATCGCATCTACAGGTTTTCCACTGTGCTCCACAAACATAGCAGAACTGTGCACCACAGCGGCAGGCTATCGCGTCGTTAGTCGTGTGTTGCTACATGTAAAGAGATGGGGAGATATACTTATATGGTTGCATCCTGTGCTCAAGTCAACAAGTCTGTGGCATGAGTAGCATCTCTGCCATCCATTCTCCTTCGCAATACGGAGAACTTCCAATGTTGCCGCATCTTCAGGACAATGATCGTCATGAGATTGGCCCTTGCAAATAGTGCAAGTCTCACTGCGACATTTTATGCATGTTGCTACGTCTCCTTGAATAAACTGCGAAGGAATAAAGGCGGAACAAGCAGGCTGATGGCAGTACGTTCGATTCGGCGTACCGTACTCCAATTCCTTTGCACGATATTCTCCAACCAACTCTGCAGGAAGAAAGATCTGATTGATGCCAAGAGGTATTGGTTGGCCACAGCAACGAGGAGGAAAGAGGGATTCATCGCCTATGGCTGCGTTGAATAACTTCGCTATGCATTCGCGACAGTATTCGTGTGAGCATGGACATTGAATCGTCTCAAAGAATGGAACATCCGCCATACAGGCGAGACATCGCCGCGTTTCAATGGTTGAGGACGATTTTTCGACCCGCCTGGATGACGGCTCTCCGACAGTCGAGTATTGGTCATCATCGATACCAATGTAGAGGGCTGCAAGCTTCTCAATCATTTCATCTTCGATAACTGTTTCCGGGGGGGCTGTGCTCGCTGCTGCTGCCGAAGGTTGGCGATTCATCGCAAATTCTCGGTCACGTACAGCTTGCTGCTCTTCTTCAAGATGGTTTCTGATTATGTCTCCATCGATCAAGACTGCATGAGCGATGCTGCGACTCATGGCCTGGTCAGAGCATGCAGTGGCTAGGGACTCAAGCTCCTGACAATAGAGTTGCATTGCAAGCTCAGTATCGGGCTGTTCCCCTTCACGGTGTTTCCCCTTAACCAAGTCTTGAGCCTCTCTCAACTGGATCTCGATGATCACCTTGAGCGTCTCCTGGTCAAGGTCGTCCATGGTTGTGGTTGCTCCCTCTTGATACTGCATGCAGCAAAGATGTTAACAAAGGTGACGATGTTGAGAGAGTGAATTCTCTGTTGTGTGGAAACAAAGAAAAGTTAGCTGCAAACAAGAGCAAACGGAGAAGTGGGCTCGACTGAGGAGTGGTCGTACAGATCCACGTGACAATAGATTCCAATAGATATTAATTCGCTGCATTCACCAGATATTACGACTAGTTGATGTGACTAGAGTCTGCCATACAGGCGAGACGCCGTTTGTTATTATTCATTGCGCAAGAGAGTGTTTGGACCAATGAACCGTGGGGCGAGTGAACATTTTCACCAATCACCCGTGGTTAAAGTATACATCTCTTTAGCGACTATAGTCGTCTTCTGGACTTGTCGTGTTCATCAGGACTCCACGATGTTAGGGTTAAGAGAGAGGGGATGTTACTCGTGCAACTAGTGAAAATCATGAGACTGGCACTATGCCTCAGCAATAGGCCAGAAGAAATATATATATAGTGGTTCTATAAGGGGGCAGCTATGTCTGAAAGCCGTTTGTCTTCTATTACACGTACGGTGCTCCGCCTGTTGGCGGCAAAGCCGCTCACGAGCGGTTGTTTGACGGATGCTTATGAAGCAACCCACTCTGTTCACAATACTTATATGAAGCGGAGTGATACTTTTAGAGAGCTGAACAAAGCTATATGCACCTAAACATTTGCTTTATTGTTCACTACAATCATGTCAAATGGCCAAATTCTTCTTAAGCGAAACCCCATCTTCAATGACAAAGACAAGGACTTTTACGCAAGCTGGGAGAATGAGCATGGTCAGCAAGCCTTGCCGTGGGCACTAGCTACGGGAGTTGTATACTACGCCCAGGTAAGTTTCAAGATATTCTGTGCCCTACTACAAGGGCGTAGAAACAGCATTTCCCTTGTGATCCGGGTTCAAATATGACATAAGAGTTACGATATGGCCTTTCACAGAGACTGTAGCTGACAATGTTTCTAAAGATACACTACATTCAGTCCAATGATCCTAATTTTTCTACCGACGACTGGGATGGGGCCATTGAATACAATGTTGACCCAAGTGCATCAACTGTTGCCAATAGTCCGTCACGCGAGGCTGCAAGTGCTGCTTATTACAAAGAACAAATCTTGGTGGATGAACGACGACTCTTCATTGGTGACGCCTCCTCTCATTCCAAGCACGTTCCAGGGAGAACTGTCAGTGGGAAAAAAGTAGTTATGATTGAGAATGGTAGGGCAACGCGACCGATTGATGAACGATGGGTAAAACTTTGGCAGGAATACCTGGATAGATATACGTCAACTCAGTAAAGAGCATAGATACACTAAAGATAAAAATGAGGACTCGAAGTTTCGAACTTGACGCTATGTAAACGTTTTAATTGACAACATAGATTAGAGGGAGAGAGTTTCTCCATGGCAACTACGACAAAGCAGGAAGAATTTGCTTCCTCAGCCACTTGTTAATGTATTGTTGTAATTCTCTGTTGTTTTTCTCGATTGCCATCATATGTCCATTGCCACGTATTCCCTGGTCTGCCAGATAGACGTGTTCAATAGGAACCCCTGCGTCACGGAGAAACTCAGCCGTGAGATGGTCGTATCCTGCATGATACGACGCTTCAGCGGTCACCAACACAACTGGAATGTGGCAAAGATTCTTGAGCTGTCGCATAGGATGCTCTTGTCGGGGCCCCTTAATTAAGCCAGCGTATATTCCCGTCTCCTCTATCATGTCTTCGCCTCTTGTCGGTAACATTCCGTAAGGCAGCATGGCAGCATCTGCTGGTAATGGTGGCTCATAGCGTAGCGGTGTACTGGTAATTCCAAAGGGATGTATCAACTTGCCGACGATCTCAGGTCGGGAGTTGAACGGCGGACAGTCCGGATACTGGAACGGTGGGCCATGAGGTTCCAATGCCACGATGCCACAGACCAACTCTGGACAGGCATCGGCAGCGTGCCATCCGAGTGGTCCTGACTGAGAGTGGGTGATGAGAAATGCCGGGCCGATCTTGTTTAGCAGTGCCTTGATTGCCGGCCTGAAAAGGGACTCGACCTTTGCGTAACTGCCGATATGTCCGACTTGGCTGGCGTAAAAGGCATCGAACACGGGATCTCCTCGCTTCCCGGAGCCGGGCCATTGCGTATGGAGATGTGCCCATGGCGAATTCTCAGGTTGAGGCGCAGTAAAAGCGGCCTCCAGCTCCTCCACGGTGTAATGAGTAAGATCTCCAATGTCCGCTGCATGATAACGAGATCGTCCTACTCCTGGCTGATCAACCACGTAGCATTCCCAGTTGTCTGCGGCTTGAAGCATGGCTAAGCCAGGCCGATTATCCGGTGTTGCCTCCCAATGTGTCCCCGTTTGGGCAGCACCATGTATGAAGACAATGGCAGGCTGTCCGGGAACTTTCTTCCCATAGCGTCGTACGCACATGGATCCGGTCATGTGTGTCCCTCGGTCATCTTGAATGTATTCACCACCAACGTAAAATACATCCGCTTCTGGCTGTTCTTGAACATTACTTGACGGCATCGTAGAATTGTGACCTGAGATGCGTCGATGGTGAAGAAAGTCGATTTAAATGCAGCGGATCAAACTGCATATAAGCTTCATTCGAGAAAGTGGCTTTCAATGGATATTTAAACTTGTCTGATACCGTTCCGTCAAGTTGTCTGCATAATGTTGATTAGATGTCGCCTTGAATTATCGTGTTCTCATTATATAATACGTAGCGGAGAGGCTGAGATGAAGGCTCTTCACCTTCGGCCAGGGCTTATTACCAAAATAGTAAAACTTCCCCGTAGCTGCGGACTTTATAGTCCCAGGAATTTGCCTATGAACTATGGGTCACCTTGGCATCGGCATCGAGAACCGGCCGTAAGCCATCTAGAGTATTTTCCCCGACACGTACATATGAACTACATATCAACAAAAACATCTACATTACGGATTTGTATAGCACAACTAACGCATACCTCAGCTTCATTATATCTGGTTCAACACGGAATGAAATAATTGGATAGTGTAGTTTTCATGCGTAGGCCTCTTGGGGAGATTTAGCGATTTGCCTGCTATGGCAAGAACTGGAGTTACGAAGCAATACATAATTAAATAAAATAATGAGCAATGATATACTGATTCTTGCTAATTTCGTACTAAGTATACTCTTTCCTTCCAATCTCCCGATTGAAAGACCACAGCCCCATCAACCGCGCGTTGAGTTCAATTTACATCCAATATAGGTTGGCACTAAAAACAGTGCGGGGGATTTTCCTTACAAAATATATCGGAAGTCAGGGTGATAGTCATAAGCCTCCTCAAGCGACTGGTGACTCATTGGGTGAACGGTACCAGCTGCTTGGTGACGAGCGGCCTCTTCTTCCTTCTTGCCATTCAGATGGCGCATGTGGAGCCACATGAGAAAGGCAGAAATGAACCCCATGGCCTGAAACGCCAAACAGATAGAATGACCCTTCAAGTACCGCGGAGGGTCAGTGTAGATGTGAGAAGCCATAATGGCAAAACACTGACCAACAACTTCCGCTACTCCCCATGTCATTGCACGCTTCGTGAATCCACCCACGTTGATGCTTGCCCAGGCTCCTAGAAGAGTAACGCACGGGAATACACCCATCGTGATAAGACAAGTGCCAAAGATCTTGACTTTGACGCTGTTTACTACCATGAGAATGATATACCCAACAATCGAAAAAGCGAAGCAGAGCATCAAAAGTGGCCCCTTGATGCCTGTGCGATCGGATGTATAATTGACAATGAGAAGAGTGACGAATGCACACGCATACGGAATAAGCGAAAAGAGCTGGGTTCGGGCTTTGCAATTCAAGATTGTCAGATTGGGACTAAACAGAGCAAGTTGGGAGTTACTCACTGGGAGAGAAGCCGAACTGCTGGACAAAGCTTGGCAGAAAAGCACTGATAGAGGCAAGCCCAAGAGCAATACCAGCATTCATGACTGAACAAAAGTAAACTTTAGGGTCCTTGAATGCAATTAGCATTTGTTTCTTATCGAAACCTGCACCGGCTTTGTTGTAGGCTATATATCTTTGTTAGCGGTCAGCCTTGATGTGTAATACACAAATAACGTACTCTTAAGGCGCTTAATGGCCACTTCAAGCTCGGCTTTGGAAAAGATCCAATGCTTCAGGTCCTTGATCTGATCTGGAGGAGGCGGCATCAATAGCCAAGCACTGATTCCAACAAAGATGCCGGCACATCCTTGAATGATGAACAGCCATTGCCATGCGGAGTGGCCCAGAGCACCATCCAAGTTCTTTTGAATGGCATACGCAATGAGTCCACTAAATGCACCAGCAATAGTTGCTGCAGAATAAAAAGCAGCTGTGGACTCGGATTAGTCTGAGTAGGTAACACGTAACATTTGATGTTCGATGGAGAGAAACATACAAGTTCGAGTTGCCAGCTCGTCTCGCTTGTACCACAAACTAGTATATAGAGTCAAGGCCTGAAGAAAGGTAGATGCAAAGCCAAATAGAATCCGAAGGGCCAGAACAGTAGCAGCGTTCTTCGCTGCAGCCATGCAGCATGATAGTGTTGCAAAAACAATGACACATCCGCCAACCTGTCGATGAGCTTTGAAGAAACGGATGGACAAGTTCGCAGGGATAATGCATATGACATAGCCCACATCTTGATGAAGCCGTTAGTATATATCTTCTTGTGATGCCATCGATACTGGCTTACAGTATAGAGAGACAGCGTTGTAAAATTGATCGTTACTGATGTTGAGATCTTTTTGAAGTCCCATCACACGGGCGTTTCCGATATTTCCTCGATCCTGTATGAAGAGACTTAATTTTAATTTCTTTCTTTCATCATAGAACGGAGCATCACTGAAACTTACCCATTGATTGACGAGGAAGACGAGAGATGTCATTCCCACAATTAGGATATCAGCTTTGAGAACTAAACTTCTCTCTAGCCTTTTCTCTTCTGCCGTCAGTTCTGGCTCTGTAGCCAAGAACTCCTTCTCTTGGTACTCGACCATGTCCACATCGTTCACCGGTTCTACCTTTTCGGTATCCATCATGTCAAAAATTATCGGCAGTAGGGATGGAATCAGAAGTGAGGTGTATGGGTGACAAGAGGGCAGCAAAAAGAGAAGAATCCGGGGTAAGATATAGTAAATGCAATATGTCGACTCCAATATCGGCGCTCCTATGAAAGTATCGCGTCGTTTGCAGCTGGGGTAGTCTGGGGAAGTGTCTAAACTAGCTCCGAAGATTTGGATCTAGCGGATATCTTGGCGATGCGGCACCATCAAGTACATTTATTCGTCAGTTCTTTTTCCTAGAGCCCAGAGCATGCACGTATACGCCGTAAAGGGATGTTCTCGACCAGAGGATGCACAACTCCGCATGGTTGGGACGCTTGGCGGCGATGTCACCTGGTGGCGTGGGTTGTTAGCGTCTCTCAACTGGAGAACATTATACCCTGTCGCATACGGACTGTATTGATTCCATGTACGGCTGTGCAGTGTTCGTAGGCTCTGGGGCTGATGCTCGGATCGTTGTCAAGGGGAAAGCAAAGGATACATGGCCTCCTAAACTCCGCAGAGTTTCTACTCACGCATTCTGTCGTTTGGACAGGCGTCTTACCAAGAGAGGAAATTATCGCGACATCCGCAGTAGCGGACCGCCGACCCGTACATATTGCCCGAAACGGCAATCGGCCAGTTTGAACGGTTCGGCCGGATGTGTATTCTAACCGCAACTCAAATATTGTGTCTTTCAACTTCATGTTCCTCAAAGGGGAAAGTTTCCCGATGAACCTCATGATGCATATAATTCGTTGTGTTTTTATATCATTCCGATTCTTCATCGTTTTCACTACATGAGAATTAGTTTAGTTCGCCGGGTATTCCCAATAACGGATCTATTGATTGCTAAGATACGAAGTCGGTCTCGCCACCTCAAGTTTTTTCAAGCTATCGCAGCAAATTGCAAGCCAAGACGTAAGTTTGTTTGTCATGTAAACACTGATAGAATGTCATTGCGGAATGCAAGTTCACTAATATGATCGGTACGATTACTCTTTGGAGAATAGATGTGGCGATGATTACACCTCGATCGAGTACATCTTGTCTCGGAGGCTTTGAAGAGGCCGCCATATGCGTCGGTGGAGAGACAGGATGAGAAACTGACTTTGATTATTTCTAAGAAACTAATATGTTTCCAAGATACAGTATTGCATTGGGCTAGTATGGAACGTGAGCAGCTACAGCTTTTTGCACCTCAAGTGCAACTTGATAGCTCAGAATTATCCCTCTGCTATATGCCTGAATGGATGCTTCTCTCACCCTATTCACGTATTGCCCATGCGTTTGATACAACTCTTTCAGTTTTGCTTCATCATATGGGATAGTTGCTCCGTTCAAACCCGTACCAACAAGGCCGACATACTTCGCAATTGGGACAGTAATCTCTGGGAGCCGGACTCCTCCAATGACATTACCATCAGAAGCTCGATTCAATATCGGCGTGGTGCCGTTGAGATATCCTTCAATCAATGGCATCGATGAGGGTGGGTGATGATGCTTAATCCAGACTGGAAGCAGACGGAATGCGGCATCCACGACTGGAAGCCAATTTACTTGACTCCAATTTTGAGAGAGCTGCTGCGGAGGTTCAACGCCATCACGATTAAGCGTCAACAGGAGATTTTCGTATAAAGGCACGTTGACATGTGAAGCTCCAGCTACCTCCCAATAGCGAAACTTTGGAGTATCTGGCTGGCGTGTACCGAATAGGATGGTGTATGAAGCTTCTAACTCGCTGTGGATCATAAAGACTGGAATCTTCAAGTCTGTTCGTACCATTGCTGAAACTGTTGGAGCCTGTTCTCCAGTCGATGTATGATCAGTAGAAAAGGTAGCCGCCTGGCTGGCAGATAGCAATGGCATGGTGGCGTCGAATACATTGGTAAGAGGTTGTATACCATTAGTGTATGCGAGGACGCGGGAACCAGACTGTGAACCACCAACTGCAACGACGATATCAGGAGATAAACCGCCCAGAATCTTTGCTTGCCCTTGGGGTGATTTGATAAGTCTAGCAACCTGGGTATATATATCGTAGCTGACGGTATCGTTGGGAATGATCAAAGATCCGTAGCGATCTGAGTCCCACTGATGAAGGCCCTGAGGATTCGAAATACTGAGGCCAGATATCCCAACACGTTGTGCGGATACAAGGACATAGATAGATCCATCTTCGTAGAGTCCAGGAGCATCTCCACCAAAAGTGACTTCGTAGCCAAAAGATACGTTGATCCACTCCAAGAGGGTAACGCCGCTGAATTGGGAACGATGTTTTGGCTTGCGTACAAGAATTCGGGTCTTGTAATAGCTACTCTTAGCAGGCTTCAAATTCCATCTGCCGTCCAAGCTAAGATTGCCAACTGGTTCATACTCCGTCGCATTCCCAGTCAAGAAGAATTCTTCTTCGATGTAGCCGATTTCATCAATATTTCCATAATAGCTCGCAAATGGGTATCCCCTCTGGCCACCACTAATAGGGCCCTCAACTTTGGGTAGTTTGCAGGTGTCCTTTCCGTCATTCATGTTGGCAAAAGCTAGAGGGAAAATCCCAAACAAAAGTAGAAGTGGTCTCATGGTTAAAGTAGTAACGAAATCTTGCTGATGTAACGACGATATTTGATGCGCGTACATTAGGTGGCTGTGGTTGACATCATTATATAACTTTTTATTTGTTTCTACTATTAGGTTTCTTCAATATTAGGTGCACCTCATTGCCAGATTATAAAAGAGACTTCCTAATAGAGAAATATTCACGAATTAGCTCCTCCTCTGCTATTGTGTAGAGATCCCAGACTTCTTCTTCCATGTCCATCGGTCTGAGCCCGAAAGGGCACTAGTATTCAATGGTTTGGCATAGCCTATGGTACTACTGGAGATGCTAATATTACCCCTCATTTTGTAATTAAGTATAAATTTATAGTTCTCATCCTCGGTAACACATATCTGTATAGATACGGGCTGTTGAGAATTGCTGCCCCTCAAGTTGTAATATCCTTTCTAGCAATAGAAGAGAAATGTGAAACACCCTTGCTTGAGTTACATAAGTAAGTAAATTGTTCAGATGGAGTAACATTTCACGCAGGGCATGGAAGCACGCATGGAAGATTGCTCTTGCCGGGTAGTTTAGTTTGAACGACAGCCTTGTTCAACGAAACATTTATAGGGCTCTTCCACTGATATCATTCATCGCAGTCGGTAGGTTTATAGGTTGAATCTAGCAACTGCAGCCTGAGAGAGTACTCTTCTGACTTTTATTAGACAGTTTAAAGTACAGGTAGTGTGACTGCAGCGAGGAATGGATTTGCGCAATCCATGCCCGAATCAATCTTGGTGAGTGATTGTAATATAGTAGTAACTCTACACCAAATCTGCTAACCATAGGAAATTAAAGGCGAATGTCTTCAAACCTATTTACAGAAAGCTGTTTACAGAGTATGAGAAAGATATCGGTAGATAATTGAGCCTTAGATTTGACTAGATGTGGGGGATTGTTAGCGGTTCCCCCACATCTAGTCAAATCTAAGGCCTGACGTTGCATCTGGTATTTCAATATGTAATAGCCTATTACTACTAATAGGCGAAAATAGTGAAGAAACAGTGCTGGAGATCTGCTCTCTAATAGGGATTAGTCTCCAGCTGACAAATATCTTTCGCTCTTGGTCTCGATAAAAGCCGTGTTGATGGATAAAGTCTTACAATCGAGCGCGAAAATATTATTTCCCTTTACTGTTGGCAATTCGAATGATAATTGATTCACAATGTCGGAGGAATTGGTTTTGTTTGATCTCCCTAGTAAGAAGGAAGCCGGCAACAGGGGTTGGTCTGGCAACACTTGGAAAAGTAAGTCAAATCACAAGAGTCAGGACTCAGGATGAGGTTCTCGACATGAACAATTGAACGAGGAATTATATCATAATATCTAGCTACTGACATCATTTTCATTTTCACAGCCCGCATCGTTCTCAACTATAAAAACATACCATACAAAACCCAGTGGATAGAGTATCCAGACATTGCAGCAACTTTTGCCTCATATGGCATTCCTCCAAACCCCGCATCATCATCAGACGCTACTTACACCGTCCCCGTGGTGAAATTTCCCAACGGCGACTACCTAATGCAGTCGTATGCTATTGCGCAAAAGTTGGAGGAGTTATTCCCTGAGCCCTCTTTACATCTCGAGAGCGATTCCTACAACAAAGTCGTGGCTGCTTGGTCCAAGATTGACCCTGCCCTAGCCCCGGAAACGAGGCCCAGGGTGCCGAAAAATATCCTCAACCCCGCAAGTGTCGAGTATTTCGAGCGTACGCGGGCCGCTCGACTTGGCATGACCTTGGAAGAACTTTCCAAATCTGATAAAGCAGGGGAGGCTGCCTGGGCTGCCGCCGAGCCTGGTTTGCAGGCGCTGAAGGCGGTTTTGACGGAAAATAGCTCCGGGCCATATATTGACGGCGATTCTGTCAGCTATGGGGATTTGGCACTTGCTGGCAACTACGCATTTTTCGGGACGATTCACGAGGATCTGCTTAAGAGGCTCTTGAGTTATGATGAGAGCCTCCAGAGACACTATGATGCGTGTAAGAAATGGTTGGAACGGAGCACTTTTTAGCACTTAGGCATGCTGAGAGGAATCCATCGTGTCCTCTAGCTGATGCAAGTTTACTCGATATCTGTATGCATAGTCATATTATTCACAGTGATGCTACCTCATTCTCTGTATTTCATTGACGCAATATGCGGTAAAATACCTCCGTAAATTAAGGCCGTATTAGAATTACCTCTATGATTCCTACTTTGGTCGCCTTCCAAAGGTAGCACGGCAATCCTGCAGATGCAGTCAATCATTCGTGTCTTGTTCGCATTTAGTAAAGGTGGTGCAACGCGCCGTGAGTTTCATGGCGAACACGCATCTTATTGGATACTGAAAGCTGCATACCCATGTTACATTAGGCATGCGTTTATACCCACCCACTTAACGAAAATCAAGAGCGCGGCTGAATCCCGCAACTTGACATCTCCATGATATGCGAAAATCAAATTTCATCATTACTAGCCTTGCAACCATTCTAACCGAAGGGCAAAAATAATGCCTCGAAAGTCCATTTCTACATTCTTCAAAGGCCTTCGATCGAAGAGTCATGGAAGAAATGACCCAGCGGGGAGCTCCTCAAACGTGCCTGATCATGGAGAGACAGAGAGGGGTCAATCTTTACAATTGAATAGACACTCCATCTTTCCACAATCAGGTCGCTCCACAAGTACGACACCACAACCATCTACGCTTGGTTGAGATTGCGGCAATAGATATTTTGCCCGCAGATACACCAGCCCACTCGATGGATGCCACACATATCGATACAGATGATAGGAAAAAGAACGCGACGTCACCAGAAGAAATTTGGGATGAAGCATACGATGGCCTGAAAGCAGAACAGCCCCAATTGATGCATATTTATGAAGTCATTTTATCTAATAAGCTTCATGATCCCAATTCCGACCACCCACAGTCGGAAAACGAGACCAATACGATTGCGACCGCTGGTGATGAGCGACGTGCCCAAATGTTGGCGATCATGCAATACGGCCAAAACAAAGTCAAGAGGGAAGCCAAGATCAAAGAAAGTGTAGGAGAAGCTATGGAAATCGTGAATTCAATGAAATCAATAATAAGTACAGGCATTCAGGCCGCACCACAGGCCGCTCTTCCGTGGTCTATTGTGTCTATGGCCTTGGACGTAAGCTTGCACATATTTATCTCATTTTGGATGTCAGACTAAACGATGGATAAGATTGTTCAAAATCCTGTCAAAGCACAGAAAGATAATATCGAGGGGATTGCATACACGACAAAAAGAATGAAGTGGTATTGGAGTTTGTCGAGTGATCTATTTCATGGAGATGGGTCTCTCAGGAATAGAAACGACGCGCCCGATACTCAAAACGGCATACTTTTGCGACTTGTAGGGCTCTACAAAGAGATTATTCTATTTCAAGTCAAATCAATTTGCTCTTTTTATCGCAATCGTTGGCTTCAGCTATTTCCCGATTTTGTCATAAAAGACAATTGGAACGATAGTCTGAAAGAAATTCGAACACTGGAATTAGAGTTCCAAAATGACTATGCGACATACATGACTCTAGAGGAAAAGAGTATGAGCCACCAAATCAAAAATTGCCTTGAAAAACTGGTCGCACTGCAAGTCAACAACTTAGAGCAACAAGATCGAGATTGTTTGAGAGACTTATACATTACCAATCCTTGAAATGATAAAGAACGTCTTCTGGATACCAAAGGTGGCCTTTTGCCTGATTCATACACTTGGGCTGTCAAGAGTGCCATGTTCCGACAATGGCATACAGAGAAGGAGACAAATCTACTTTGGATTAAAGGCAACCCGGGCAAAGGAAAAACATTGATGATTTGCGGGCTCATTGAAGAGTTAGAGCACATGGAACCTCACCAAGACCTCCTATCACACTTCTTTTGCCAAGGCACAGACCCAAACTTCAACAATGCCACAGCGGTCTTACGCGGCATTATTTATTCGCTCGCAACCCAAAAGCCATCGCTCATTGAGCATATACAACAAGAATATAAAAATGTCGGCAGTAGAAGCCTTTTCGACGGAATCAACGCTTGGATAACGCTGTCAGGTGTATTCGTTAAAATGCTACAAGATCCTGCACTAGAAAATGCTTGTCTGATAGTCGACGCACTGGATGAATGCGAATCGAATCGCAAGAAACTCTTGGATTTCATTATTGAAAGCACTTTGGCTACCCCTCAGGTAAAATGGATCCTTTCAAGTCGGAATTATCCCGATATTGAGGCCAAAATACGTTCATGTCGAACAATCGCGGTCATTGATCTCGAAAGCAGTGCTACTCTTGTTTCGGAGAGCGTTGATGCATACATTCGTTGCAGAACACAACAATTGAGCCTAATTGAGGATAATGAAGTGCTTCAGGAGCAATTACAGCGTGCTATTTTGCAGAAGTCAAGCGGAACGTTTCTGTGGGCTGCACTCGTGTTCCAAGAGATCGAAGAGCGCCGCACATACGATGATGACGCCGAACTGCTGCAACTCTTAGACGCAATGCCTAGCGGATTAAGCGGCCTATACGAGAGAATGATGAATCAGATTAATCTACTAGTGAACAGCGATCAAGAACGTTGTCGCAACATCTTGGCAACCATGGTGGCCGCATATCAACCACTAAATTTAGAGACACTGCCAATACTGGCTGGATTAAAGGGCCGACTAACACAAGCTGAACCTCTGAAAACCTTAGTCCGAATGTGTGGATCATTTTTTGACTATTAGAAGAGATGTCGTTTATTTCGTTCATCAATCAGCGAAGGATTACCTGATCGGAGAAGGTCACAATCGCATTTTCCCCTCCGGAAGCGAAACTGTCCACCGAGACATGTTCAACCGCTCACTTGAGGCTATGTTAAAACCCGGAAAACTGCGACCAAACATATACTCTCTGCCATATCCTGGTGTCAAAATACACGAAATATCCGTACCACAGCCAGATCCCCTTGCAAGCATTATGTATTGTTGCATGCACTGGCTTCAACATTTTTGCGACGGCACTTTTGGTGTTTATTCCGGGTCAAAAAATCACATACATGAAGGCGTCAACAAAATTTTCGATTTCCTCAAGCTACATTTCCTTCACTGGATTGAGGCGTTGAACTTGTCACAGAATGTGGAGGCCGGAGTCGTCTCTTTGCAGAACTTGCTTAATTTGTTGACTGTTAGTTGTATTCTCGACTCCCCAATCACAGGACCATTTATAATTGACAAAACTAGCACAACGTAGATGAAACTGAGGCGATTGAGTTTTTCCAAGATGCTCTTCGCTTCATACTCTACAACAGATTCATATTGGAAACAGCCCCTCTTCAAGTGTATATTTCTGCTAATATTTTCGCCCCTATGAAGAGTCATATACGACTTCACTTCAAAGAGGCAATCTCATGGATCAAGACTTTGCCCCCAGTCGACAATTACTGGAGCTCCTGCCAATATACTTTATACTGTGGTATAATGACAGATGCAGTTTTCTCAAACGACACTTCTCAATTAATTACACTATCTCTTGATGAGAAAATGAAGAGATGGGAGACTACTACAGGGAAATTAATACCTGATATTGGTTATGACTTCAAGTTGCCACCTGATGAGGAGCGTTCTCTACAATTAACGTTATCGGACGATGCCAAACTTCTTGCCATCTCAGATGATCTGGCAATCACGGTATGGGATCTAGAGTCTGGGAAACAGGTTCAAGGATTTAAAATCCAAAGAAGAAGAAGGTCCGACACAGCGTTCTCAGGCGATTCTATGCTTCTGGCTGTTACAGATGATACGTCTTTCCAAATTTGGGAATTAGCTACAGGCAAAATGGTTAAGACTCCACGCCAAAAGTACCCCTCGCGGGTGTTACTATCGCAAGATTTCAAGTTAGCAGCCTGGAAAACTACTGACAGCATCTTAATATCCAATGTAGCTACTGGAGAGAAGATTTATGAGCTGTCGAGCAAGTTTCACCCAACACATTTCTCCAATAATTCATCATATCTTGTCGCACTAGACACTGACAAAATGGAAGAGACACCATTTCAAGTTTGGCACATCTCATCAGGCGAAAAAATTATAAGATATATATCTAGAGGGCCACTGTATGCCTTCAGATCTATTGCTTTTTCGGACGACAGCAAATTCCTGGCGTTTGGAGAAGGTGGTGAAAATATCAACATTTGGAACCTCGAAGAGAAAGCCATGGTACGATCGTATAGTGGCCATACACATGCCGTTTCATCGATCGCATTTTCAAGAGACGCCAGTTTTTTGGTGTCTGGATCTTTAGATCGAACTGTGAAAGTCTGGAAGACAGATTTTGACAGCATCGACCGCCCACCACAAAGTGAACTAGGCAAGGCCTACCACAAGATCAACGCCTTGGCCTTATCAACCGATGGAAACTTTACCGCGACAATGTCTAGGGAGAAGATCACATTTTGGAGCACACGCCAACTTTCACATATTCAATCAATTTGGCAATCTAAAGATCTTACCCTCGATCCTTTGGCCCCCCACAGAGGACATGTGCTTGCAATATCCAAAGACTCTAGGCTCGTTGCTAGGGTGTATATATTCTATGAACATGATGATTCGCAATCCATTGGCATGAGTATTTGGAGCATTGATTCAGAATCACCAGCCACCGGTGCCTTCAGAATAGGGGGCTGTGACGAACCGGGTCCTATAGGCACTATAGGTTAACTGTTTCCAAGGGACAAACCTTAGAGTGGTTCTATGGTTTATGTTAGCGGAGCAATCAGGTCGGTAACGGGCAATCTTATCACCAGCTAGTTAATACAAATAAGAATAAATATCTATGTTCCAATCTAATTATATTATAAACGCTGTAATAACAACTAGCTATCTAAGTATTCTAATAAGTGACATAAAGTAAACTTATATATCTAGTCGTATATTCTAGAGTCAAGTAGAATCGCTTATAATTTTAATTAATTTGTTCCTGCGTTAATTAAAATTAATGTTAATTCCCGTCGACCGCTTCCTAATTAGCTGCGCAGCCTAACGTTAGTCTAGGAGTGCCTACCCTGTAGGCCCCTTGTCGTAACCATAAGAGCTGGGTCGTAACACAATTCTCCCCCTTCTGTTAGTCTTATCCCTAAGACCAGGTAATCTAGCATATAAGTATCTATACCTCCTACTTATAGGTGTTCTTCTTATTCTATTACCTGTTCGTCGCTAAAATAACTTTCTGTATTTAAAAATCTACTGACTTAGCTAATATAAAAGGAAAAAAGAAAAAACTTAATAGGAGTATAGTACTTACTGCTTCTATATTATTGTAATCCGTTAAGATAAAACCCTGCTTCTATTGCAAAAAGAAGGGATTTTAGTATTTAGCTTCCGAGGTTAACTTAAGTCGCTGCTTAAAGTATATTAAAGATTACAAATCTTATTATAAGGCGTTTCTTACCCCTTAACAATTATTACGTATTTCCCGTTGACGCAACTAGCTCGACAGTAAGGTTAAAGCCGTTAAAGAGGAAATCGTAAATCTTATAGCTAAAGTTATTCATCTTCGGAAATAACATAAGGAATAGTCTAAAAAGGCAGTATATACGGTATCCTAAGGTATTAATAATTTAGCGAAGCTAGAGTAGTTAAAGCAGAAGAAGCATAAGGCAGAGGCTGCTCTTCAGGCTGCTATAATACAGTTAGCAAAGGGTTCTTCTAAAGTCGTCCCTGCTTCTTTAGAATTAGTAGATTATTTAGGGATATTGTCAATAGATCCTAAGCTAGCATAATCCCTAGGCTTTAATAAAGTTTTTCCACCAGCGTTATTAAGTTCTTAAGATGCTTAATAGGTTCCTATATTTCTTCTTTTTCTTTCCCTTTCTCCTATTATACCCTATAGCGTCGTTTACCGTCTTCTCCTGTCTTTATTACATTAATGTCTTTTACCTCGTATTCTTCTTCTTCTCCTTTAATAATAATTTCGTCTTAGATAAATCTTCTAGTTTCTTCGTCAATTTATACTTTTTCTAGCAGGGAGATGTAGAATATCGGATATATATGTTTTCCTTGTTTTTCCTATTATTCTAGAAGTTTAAGTTTATAATTTACTTCTCTAATTTTTCTTAAAATTTTATAAAGTCTAAGTTTCTTAAAATCGAGTTTATTGCTTAGCCTGTTTATTTTGATATTTACTTACTTATTTCCCCGCGTGTATCGGTGTAACTAGACCATATCCCTTTCCTAAAGGGTTAGTCCTTTAATCCTATTTCTGTCTACGTATTTAATTATCCTTTATCGAACGAATTTAAGTTGTCGTCGTAGTTCATTATGTAATTTAATTATGTCCTCTGCCTTAATTATAGCTTTTTTAACATCTTCCCCTTACCTTAGCAGTTAGTAGGCTTCAGGTTTAAATCTATAGTTTAGGAAGAATAGTAATTTCCTAGTTAATTCTAATTCTATGCTGTTATAAGCGAGTTGTACAACGGGGAGGAGTTCTACCTAGTTGTTTTACTTAAAATTAATATAACAGCGTAAATAGGTCTTAATTATTTAGTTAATCCTTTCCGTCTATCTATCTATCTATAGGTAGTAGACTATGCTAACCTTATAATTTATTTCTAATTTAGCTGTAAATGCTTTCCAGAATTTAAATATAAATATATTTCCTCTATCGGAGATCATATCCCCCAGCAGTCTATAGTTACTTATGACGTATCTTATTATTACATAAGCTAATTTTTCTATATTACTGGCTTCCTTAAATAATATAAAGTAGGCTATTTTCGTAAGTCTATTAACTACTACGAAGATGCTGTTATAAAGTACCCTCGTAACTAGTTCTCTTAAAGAAGGTAGTTTAGTAATTAAGTTAAATAAAATCAATTCCTATAATTGCTGTAGTATAGGTAGTAGTTATAGCTGTCCGTAGGGTTTATACTTAAAGCTTTTAGCTCGTCCGTATATTATATATTCTAATACAACCTTCTATATCTATTTCTTAATACCTTTAAATTTAAAGTATTATGTAATTTACTATATAGTTTTTCTAATTCTACGGTATCTATTAAGTTTATATACGTAAACTGATTTTACTACTTTACTTCGCAAGTCTTCTAGTACCTAGATAAGTCCATTTAGTATTAGGTATCCAGTATCTATAGAAATACCTTCTAGGTATTATTTATTTTCCTAGTTCTTAACGTATTCCTTTATGTCGTTAATAATCAGGTCGTCTATCTCAATTTAGTACAAGGTATTAATTAATTAAATAACTAGGTCTTTATACTAGTTTTTCTCTAGTATTTATACCTTAACTTCCAGGATTTCTTAGAAGTGGTCTAGGTGCCTGCTAAGTATATTAGCGTATCCGTTGTCTAATCCACTGTAGTGTTTAATAATAAGCTTAAACTTAGAGAGTCGCTTATAATACTTAACTTATCTACGGGATAGTTCTTGTGTTATTATAAAGTAGGTAATATTCCGGTGATCTATAAGGATTATTATTAGAAATCGGCTTCCTTTACAGTAGTATTTTTAATACTACTTACTAAGCGCTTAGTATATAACTATAAACTCTTTATTATAGATAAAGTATCTGAGTTCTGGTCTATGTAGTTTCTTAGAGAAGTAGGCAATAGGCCTAAGTTTCTCTTTTTCGTTTAGTTAACTAAGTACTCCTCCGATCACATAGTCTAAGGCGTTAGTTTCAATTATAATAGGTTTATTTAGATTAAACATCATAAGTACTGGTGCACTGGTAAGGGCTTGTTTAAGGCGTTTAAAGGCTGTTAGAGTGTCTTATGTAAGTTCGAATTTAACGTCTTTCTTTATTAAGTTCATAAGTGGCGTAGTAATTTTTAAGAAGTCCTTAATAAAGCATTAGTAGTAATTAGCAAGTCCTAAGAAACTTTATACTTACTTAACGTTCTATAGCAGTTCCTAATCATTAATTGCCTTAAGTTTCTCAGGGTCTATTTAAACTTTACCTAAGGTAATAATATATTCTAGGAATATAACTTTTTATATATAGAAGTTGTATTTCTTAGGTTCTACCAGGAGTTTATTATCTTAGAGTGTTTATAGTACCTTTTTAACATACTCCTTATATTCTTCTAAGTTCTTAAAGTAGATAAGGATGTCGTTAAGGTATATAATGATAAAATGATCTACGTAGTCTCGTAATACATAGTTGATCATTTTCTGGAAAGATACTGGGGCGTTTGTAAGTCCGAAAGGTATTACCTAGCATTTATAAAGTCCGTATTTTATACAGAAGGCGGTTTTCTATTTGTTGCCTTTCTTAATTTAGATAAGGTTATATACTCCTTTAAGATCTAATAAAGTAAAAATCTTAGCTCCTGTAAGCCGGTCTCTGATTTCCGAAATCAGTGGTAGCAGCGTAATATCTTTCTTAGTTATTGCGTTTAACTGTCGGTAGTCTATAATAAGTCGAAGTTTACTGTTCTTTTTGGGTATAAATATAACTAAATATCCTGCTAAGGATTTAGAAGGTCTAATGTAGCCCTTCTTCAGCTGGTCTTTAATCTATTTATTAAGTGTCTTAAGTTCGGTGGTACTTAGGTTATAGATTTTGTTAAACGTTGGGACTTTGTTATCTATAAGCTTAATCTTATAATCCTATTGGCTGTGTTCTGGTAGTCCAGTGTTAAGTTCTTTATTAAAGACTAATATATACTAGAGGTCTGTTAGTATATTCTTTAAACGTTCTGGTGTCTGTTGGTCTCAGTGGCATAATTCCTTAACCTTTTATATAATCAAGTTAAGAAATCTAAGCTGTTTCTTTTTTAGTTTCTTAACGTATTCGACTGTCCTTAGGAGCTTCTTTAGCTCCTCCAATCATATTTACTTTATAACTTTTTATTTTTCCGTATATTTTTTTGTTTTTTAGTTTAATGCAGGGGTTACTAATCCTATCGTCGGGGATATTATAGCATCCTATCGATCCTCCTAATCTAGTTATAGTATATCTCTGAAATTAATTAGTTTAGGGCAAGTTTACCATCTCGCCTAGCCTCTGATTTAGTTAATATTAGGGTTGCGTAATTTAAGCTAATTATATCCTAAGAGTATATTATATCCTGCGATATTTATAATATTGAATTTAAACATATCCTTAATTTTACTAAACTAGATTATAAGGTGATTAGTTTTGCGGTTAATAGTTCCGTTGTTATATATGAATTATTGTTTCTTAATGCTCGTAAGGGTATATGGTTTCTCCTTTTTATAATGGTTTAACTATAGGCGGTTAACTAGTTAAGGTGTAATGTAGCTTGTCGTGGCTCCGGAATTTATGTAGACTGTAATTGGTTTATTATTTAACTATCCGTCTACTAGGAATTTCCGTAGTTTCTTTCCTCCTGTTATAGTATTTAGGTTGTGGTAGGTTACATCGTCGGCGCCGTTGTAATAATTATTACCGTAAGGGTTAATATTGATGTCGTCTAGGTCTAAGGTAATCTATCCTGGTTCTTTATTTTAAATATTATAGCGTTTACACCAGGTGCATCTGGGTTTAGGTATGTGTCTGGCGGTAAGCTTATGGTATTTCCGAAGGTTATTCCAGTTAATTCCTCGTAATTCGTTATTATCGCTATATCTTACTAGGTTAAATCCTTATTGTTCCAGGTTGTAGGTAACGTATACGAGGGCTCGGCGTTAGTACTGATGTTTCTTACAATAATCTTTGTTACAGAGCATAAATTCTTTTTATCTACATTCTGCAGCTCTGTAGTCCTTATGCTATTTCTGAAGTTTAAGCATAATGTATTATTTATATAGTAGCAATTTGCAGTTAATAATATTAGCTTCGTTATATTAGTTTATAAGCAGTATATTATCGATAAGGTAGATAGCTGATTCTAGTGCCTTGGCCATCGGATATTCGTCTGCGTTGGTCTTGATGTATTGTTGAAACCGGTTTCCGGGCAATTGGATCCGGTCGTAGGCGGTACTTAGATTAATCTATTTAATCTGTCCCTATCGTTTAAGGAGCTTCTGGTGGTCCTCGAGTTCCTTTTGTTATACGATTTCGTCGTAGCGTTTATTTTCTTTAATAATACCTTATATTCTATATTAGTCTTCGTATTATTCCTAGTCTATTATAGTTATTTTACAGAGGTAGTAGATGCTTTTGGGTTCCACTGACCTATATTAGTCGCATATACGTTTCTTAAGGTCGTTGATTTCTTTCTAAGTTATTCCTTCGCAAAGGTCGTATTGCGTTAGGGACGCTGTGTCTTATTCCGCTATCCCGTTCTTTTCTAGGTGCGTTTAAGTAATCTCTTTAAGTGTGTTTAAGGTTTGTGTACGCCCCTTGGGGTATTATCCAGAACCTTATTTATCGCTGCGGTATATTTGGCAATTGTCGTCATAGTATACTAAGAAGTGCAGTTTATTATAGTCTACCGAAGGTTTTATAGTGTTAATAGTTTGGTTCTCTTTGGGTTCTAAGACAGGCGTAAATTTCTTATCGCTATCTTTCTTAGGGGCTTAATAATATTTCTTTACGTATCCTTTCTTTCTATAGTTATAGTATTTAACGTTCTTACGTTAAGCCTCAATAGTACTAAGGTCTATTAGGCCTGGTTGTCTATTGTTAAAAGAGGTAATATAGTTATTTTGCTTTTTTCCTTAGTTAGCTTAGTGTCCTTAAGTTCGCTTAGGTTAGACGTTATAGAAGTTCCCGTTCTTTTCTCGCTTCCGTTCTTTCTGTTATTCCTAATTGCGATTGTTGATCTTAATAGCTTTTTAAGTGTAGTCGGTGAAGGTCGTCTTTTTGCAGTTAATTTTAAAGAGTTTATCCTTAACTTCAGGTTTTACACTATTATAGTAGACTTTTTTCTTAGTTTCCTTAGTCTAGTTAACCTTAGTTAACAGGCGTAGGAAAGTTAAAGTATACTTACTTAGTAGTCCTTTTTAGGTAATAAAACAAAGTTCTTACTCAGCTTCTTATTGTTTATCTACAGTACTAAAAGACTTTCTAAGTTATTCTTAAAATTCCGCGTACTTAGTGTAAATTTCTTCGGTTTATATTTTAAGTTTTTTTAAATTAATCTTTCCTTCCTCGTAATTCTATATAATAGGTTGGAACTATATTTCAGTATCTCCTACAAGGCGGCTGCCTGCGAAGATAACTCTATCTTCGTCGTCCTTTAAGGTACGAGGGAAGTATCCGAAATAGGTTGCAAATTCTAAGAAAAATTTGTCCATCTTACGTAGATCTCCGTCAAAGGGTTTAGGCTTCGTCGGTTTAATAACCTCACCCTTCTCTCTTTTCCCATCCTAGAGGTCCTAAAGCTGGGTCTTAAGAGCTTTAAACTCGGCCTTTAATTTATCGTAATTAGCTTAATTAGCTATGTTTTCGGCTAGCGTATCTTTAAGCTCAATGTCGCTGTTGTAATTACTTTAAGCTTCGCTTTTGTAATCAGTATCGTTATCTGGAACTCTAAAGCTTATAAGCTGCTGAGTTTCTAGTATTTTATTACCCATAGGTCTAAGGTGACCGTCTAAATAAGAGTTATTATCGTATAATAAACCGGGTCCTATAGGCACTATAGGTTAACTATTTCCAAGGGACAAACCTTAGAGTGGTTCTATAGTTTATGTTGGCGGAGTAATTAGGTCGGTAATAGGTAATCTTATCACCAGCTAGTTAATATAAATAAGAATAGATATCTATATTTTAATTTAATTATATTATAAACGCTGTAATAATAACTGGCTATTTAAGTATTTTAATGAGTAACATAAAGTGAACTTATATATTTAGTCGTGTATTCTAGAGTTAAGTAGAATCGCTTATGATCTTAATCGATTCGTTCCTGCGTCGATTGGAATCGACGTTGATTCCCGTCGACCGCTTCCTAATTGGCTGCGCGGCCCGACGTTAGTCCGGGAGTGCCTACCCTGTAGGCCCCTTGTCGCGACCATAAGAGCTGGGTCGTGACAGGGGCTATTCAGAAATTGTTGCGGTGGCGTTCTCACCTAATGCGGAATTCTTGGCTGCAGCATACCATGCAGCATACCATAATGAAAAAGAGTGTACTGTCATTATCTGGAAGGTTGAGTCACAGGAAATGGTGTACCAACGTGTTGTGTCTGCTACTGTTCCCGCTGCAACCCGATTTTTTGTTGATGATGCGTATTTATACGTCGTCACGGATATCGAATGCTATAGATTGAAGGAGCCGACGGGAAACCTTCCCGAACATGGCGATCGATATCTCATACCTACTAATAAGGTTGACATCGGTTACTCTATTAATTCATCAAAAGACTGGATTGCATGGAACGGGAAGGACATGATATGGCTACCGGGAGATTTTCGTCCATCAAGCACAGGTGCGTTTTCTGCACGGATCGCGGAAGTCGCACTGGCAACTGCATTGGGAAGCCTTATTACAATGAATTTCGAGGAGCCGCCATCTGAGGATGAGGATTGGACCCCCTGGAAGTCATCTGGATTTCTCTAGTGTCCAACTGGAGGGGTATTATACAAAGGGCCAGATATGTACATATTGGGGATAGCTCTTGACGGGCTTCAGAGTCTCAAAAACCCCCCGAAAGGGTTTCGAACAGCCGCTAGGATGCGAACTGAGTCAAGATTACTGGGTTGTTCTTTAGATTTGACTCGTTCTGTTGGGCGGGTTCCTCAGGGATTTGACCAAAAATTTGGCCTCTGATGTGACAGGTGGCAATATGTTTGGCGTTAGTGCGCCCATGGCTCTGGAATACTGTAACATTCCCCTTTTCATTTTATCTACAAGCTCTACATTGTACTGAAACAGACCGAATCTTGTTACTGATCAAGGAAATGATGGTCGAAGTCAAAATCCAAGGCGCATGCTCTCTATCTTACTGTCAGTGGTCTATGACGTATATACTGGTACAACCGTGACTGTCGAAAACGTGAACTATCTTGACTTATAATCTCAATTCCTTGCGGAATAGAAGAGAAGAAATGATAATGAACCATGAGCTAGGTGGTGCCGACGAATGAGAGCGGACTTGGTTTCTCTTATCCCACCCTTCTTACGACAAGACCAGCCTTACTGACAGAAATATATCTACCGGTAATATCACTTCATTGAAATCAACTCAATTATATTGTAGACAATTATATAGTCAATTCTTCATCATGGAGGTGATGAGCGGCCATAGAGACGGGATCCCATGTCATGTAGATAGCCCCCCAATCGAAGAGAAACACAACCACTTTAGACCATTCATACGAATGGTTCGGTTAAATTTTCTAATTTGGTTCCACCACCGCTTACGAGAAACATTCTTCTTCTCGTAAATGATGGTGGATGAGAGAGTGTCCTAGCCTGAAGAACCGCGATGGCGGCTGGTCGATTTCACATGTCTCTACTCTGAATATAGTTTAATCGGTCAATAGCGTCGGAATTCTATGTCTGTGTCCTCATGATTTGCCCGTAATATGATTACTAGTAGCCGATGTGCATGAGTGTTTGACTTTACATATCTAATAAGTCTACCTGACAACGAATGAGGTTACCGAGCTCGTAAAACCATCCAATGAAAGAGCTCGTACGTACTCGATATGCCCCTGTAAGATTGCTAGAACCGTATTGCTTACTTTACGAGAGCCAATCCAGCAGTACCACTGCTTCGGGATTGGTATCGGTATCTATTAGATCCATCATGGCCAATCGAGACTAACCGGGTGGCAGAAGCGAGTGTGATTTTGGTGCTCCATAGCAGAAGAAGAAACCTTGCTTCCATGGAAGAGGGCGCTCGGTGGGGGGTTACGAGGGGGTGACAGATGCATTAATTCCGCCTGTTTACCCCTGTTCAATAAGGCGTTTTCACATGGCTGCCTAGCAGCATGCATGGCTACTATTCGCGATGCAACTCGAAGACTCCATGTAACACCCTCATTATTCTCTCAAGACAATAGAGCGTCTCCTTTAAGTTTCGTTCCGTCGCACCCTTATGTCCGGGCTTCTCCGACTTCGTGCATTAGTACGTAGATCATTTTATTCACTCATGTCCTTTTGAGATCACAGCGTACAGGGACACCTTTGTGGGGTTACAATCTGGCTGGGTCTTCAACGGCGTCTTAACGAGAGACGAATAGATGCCGGTTTCTCTCAAGTCCCGCTTTCTCTCAAGTCCAGCATTCATACCCAATTACGCTGAGCCTCTTAATTTGTAGTATCCGTTTTAGATGAACAATATTCGTTCATGTTCGACTAGATTCCTTTTGACTCAGACTCTCTTCGAGCCTCTTAATAGTTGAAAAGAATTATGAAAAGAAACGCAAACATCCCAATGTATTCACATGTCATACTATGGCGATGGTAAGTAAAGATCCTTGCGGCCAGGAATATGCCCCAATCAAGTTTGCGTCGTCGGCTAACGGCTGTTCAAACCCAAAGAAATCCTTGTCCATTTCCATGTGAGCCTGTGGAGTCTACCGAAGCAGTGGAAGAAGACCTTCCGCCGGCAGCAGCCGCTTGCGACATGGCAAGGTTATTCGAGCCTCAAGTCAGTGGGGCAGCATTGCAGGCAAGCGTATGTATCTGCGTCAGATTACCCGCCGAACCTTCTTTGAGCCGTAGTTGTGGCTTGCAGCATACAATGAGCGGTGGGTTGGGTTAAACAAAGGGGCTCGTAAGATGAAGTCAGGCATTGAGGTGGCAAAGCCCTGGGCACAATCTAATAACGAGTTCAAGACGACGATTACGTTTCCTACGTGGCGTCTTAGGACTCCGTGGTCTTCGATGTAAAATGACCGATGATATCATATGAGCGATCTGACTATACAGTACATGGACTTCCTAAGGCCCCGTAGGTGTCTCCAGGGCCCTTGTTAACATTGTGTTCTGTGCTCCATACAAGTGAACTGTACAGCGGAAGTCGATAAGCTACCCATTGTTAGAATACCGAAGTAAAGCCTAGTTGCAGCTCAATTAAATCAACGCTGTAAACGAGGTTTCTTACCTTCTTCTTTTATTTTGTAAACAAAATGCTCCGGAGCAATACTCGGGTAGAAACTTGGAGAAATACTCGGGCCCAAAGTGAGCAGGCGAAAGTGAATTTGGCCGCTGCATTTATCTCAGTATCCACATAAGCACGCACCGACATCCAGGATCGCCAAAGGTGCCAAACCCTTGTCCAAAGTCTCCTGATCCGTGTAGCCGCATGTGATCTGCCTTGTGTAGTGCCGGACAAGGGGGGTTTGGTACCGGCAGTTTTGGAGGCGACTCCTTCTGTTGAGACTATTCGCCCAAGTAGACATTAGGGTTTCTCCTTTTGAAGTAAACGGTACAGATAGAAATGGCTTAGCATGACACTTGTATGAGCCCTTAGAGCCGGTCTGTTCTTTATTCCCTCGTTAGCGTCGGAATTACACGCCAGGCCCCGAAAGGCAGTACAGCATCGATCCTCCTCGATTCCCTCGAAGTCACCGCTACGTATGTAATACCGCTTCTGTTGGACCGAATTCGTGCGAATTGGTAATAACTCTACATTTTTATATCCTTTGTTAAATATTGACTTTATAGGAATAGATCTGTCATGTTGAAGTAGTTGAACAACTGAGAGTTCCTGTTTCCGCAAGTCGCTATAATTCGCTGAACTTCTTTCTCTCTGCTATGACTCTATTCTATTCGACGGAATTTCTCTTCCCCATGGAGCTTCTCCAAATTACAAACAGGGCTAAAGATTCGCTCGCTTCGTTCGACTAGATGAAACCCCCTTACTAGCGTAGGAAGAAGGTGACTTGGCCTTACTCTTTCCTACAGCTTACCAACTGCAGTCCGAATCAGGGCATTGAAGCTTGCATCTCCGGAATGAATAGTGTTGTTACTACTATTCATTATGTGAGAAGCACACGCTCAAAATCTATGCACGTTATGGACTTAAACAGAAGTTACCAATAAGACAACTTACAAAGAGGAATCGAAAACTTCGATAATTAACAAGTAAAGAGTATTCTTTCATTGCTCTGATGGTTTGAGCAAAATCATGACAGGCTATGTTGCACAAGGCAGTTTCAAAGCTTATTATATCCTACTTGAGCTATACTATAGGAGACTGCTATGATTTCCTGGGTTTCTCATGATTGGATTCCCTGTAAACGTATTCGATACGAAATACGCACTGCTAGGCAGCAAAATTAATCAATACAGGTATAGCTGCTCTTCGCTCACGTAAGTTCGTTAGTCACTTGAGTTAAAATAGTGTGACTGGGAGTTTCTGTAGAGATTGAGGCTCGTCATAGAAGTGCCACCGAAATGTAAATTATTTAAGTTAAAGCAGTTTGAGAATCAGATTCAGTTAATGTGACCTCCGTAAGAAAGGCCAAGCAACCGTGGACTAGTTTCGCCTGACTATCCTTGACCAGGCACACAGGATCGGTTTAGTGTGATATGCAGGGAGGCCAAAGTCATGTTGGAAGGGCGCACTATTGCTTGCCATCGTGTAACTGGTTTGTGATCCTTGTCCAGATCAGGCTCAAATCTCCAGATAAAGGGAATGCCAAACTTTATAACTCGTCGTATAACAGTCTTGGAAATCCAGACTCATCACATGCTCAAGACACAAACACCTCCAGCACCTCCAGTGCGTCAATCAAGTGCATTCTTCCTCCTCAAAATCCCTCAGAACCCGATTTTCTTTTTCATCATGATTCAGAATTTATTGGTTGACGGTCGTGCTCGGGTCTTGGAAACGCTCCAAAGGGGTTACGCGCCCAGCCATTTCTCTCACAACCTGGAGCTGATCTTCGTCAAAGACAGCAGAAGCTCGGCTTCGGCCTCAATGAAGACCAAGATTGCCAGCACTCGCGAAAGATCTGCTCGTATACGAACTCTGGATCCACGCACACTCATTTGGTGGGCTACGGCATTTCCGATGAGGCATTGGTCAGGAGGGAGGAAAATTAGCAGCTCCACCTTCGATGGCTTGATCAGATATGCCCCTAGATGTGCGGCTCAGGCAGCATCGTTGCTTCCAGCGGTGGCTGCTGATTTGGATCGGTTGCGGCAAAAGCATGCCAAGTGTACCATGCTTCAAATCTTCTTGGGTGGTAAGCAAAGCCATTTTAGACCGTTATTGACCGGAACGCTAACCCCTTCAAGAGTTCTCGGAGCAGCTTGATACACAATGGAAACCATTTCCTATGGATGTAGAAGGTAAGCCCCGGTCTTGGGTTGAATACCGTACTTATGGGGAGAAAGATAGTTAACTCCCATCCACAGCACTCTCACAAGAAGGGCGATATGTCAACTTCAGCGGAGCTCGATATGAGTCTCTCCAGAGACTTCCTGATCTTCTTCTCTGTGGTATGGAAAGCTCACGGAAGTACCAAGAAGAAAAACAGAAGACTGCGCCGCTATCCACTGCGCTCAAGATCTTCGTACCCACAAATCCTAACCAAGACGATGCGTATTTGTTACTCCCTGTCGGAGTTGGCCAAGTATGGTCTATTTTGCACGAACTTGGGGTGGTAGAGTAGACGAAAGCAATATTCTTTCTCCTTTTAGAATGACGATATGTATATAGTTTTGATAGATGGGGTGGATTATTTGGGTTAATTCATTAACATGATACTCTATGGCATGATTATGTCCAACGCAGTTAGATCTACCAGCTGCTTTAATGTTTGCTCTCATCAGATTATCAGGGGCTGCATTTATTTAAATGTATCTTACCTTCCGGGCTGATGCTCCTAAGTAACTAGTCTATGTGAGCCTGAATTATGATCAGGTCATTCGACGACGTGGCAACTCGACATACAGGTTTTTTACTATCTACTCATCTAGGTATAGATGAAAAGGGATATCATGGTGTGGTATGGGTGGCACTGAGAAACCGCCCCTTGGCTCCAGAGAGGTGGGATGATCTTGTAATTTGAGACATGACATCGCCAAAGAACATTTGGTAGTTTCAGAGTTTGTTTTAACTATAGGCAGCCGATAACGGCATTTATGAGTAGAGAATTAACTAGTACGCCTCCTTGGGCTACTGTTAGCCCTAGTCAATGGAGTGCCAGTGTACCACTCGACTGCTCATGCAACTATTGCTTACTGCAACCTCGAAGGAAGCAGGGCCAAGTAAAGACCCGTCGTAGAAAAAGCATTTCTATTTACTCCGTAGGGTGCACATATCTATGTAGTTTGGGTGGGTTCAGTGAGTTGCATTAGCCACTTCTGAATCCGGGGGCGTTAAAGCCTGGAAGGGGAGGAGAAATACCTTTTCACTTACAACACCTGCCGTAAAATTTGACTACCTAGGTACTTGTCAGGAGCGTCTTGTGTGGGAAACAACGCACAAACTCTACTCCGTGGAATGTTTTGGATACATGTAGCTTCATACGCCATCTGGCTGGCAATAATTGCATCGCCTGTAGCATTGGTTCTACGCTACACCCGTAAGAAATGCAGAGGGGCGAGTGTTTTCCCATCAGAACAGCACTTTAGACGCTTTGGACCGGTCCATAGTAGTGCTGCCCGATGCGGGAAATTTTACATCTATGTGCTACTAGTAGGCAGGGGGTAATACGTTGTCCCGCAGTGGGCGTGATGAGCATTCTGACTTCCGACAGCAAACAACGCGTGTTCGGCGGAAGCCACAACGTGGAAATATTATCAAGCCAATTTGATTTAGGTCAAAGGCCTACATTTTCTCGATACACGACATGTTCGTCTTGAAGCATCCATTACAGTCACAAAGCAAGAGGCAAAGAGGAAGATATGTCCAGCCCTCCATCCATGAATCCCGCGTTAAAGCCATGGGAACCAGAACGAATAGAAGGCCGGCTTGCAATTATAATTTCTCTGGGGCACAACTGACGCTTCAATTTATCCACTGATGAAGGACTTGAGCAACACGGGTAATAATTTCAGGTCATGCCAGCCGCACGAAGAAAAAAAAGAGAAAAAGAAGAGCGAAGCTCTAAGCGCGACGGCGAAGAATTTTATACGCTCTGGCGCGTGGGTCTGAAATTTTTCGTTTCGCTTAGTCATGAAGCGCCTCTGTCCAATCAAAGCAAGGCGCACAGTGGGGAGGAAATGTTGCAGAGAATTTACGTTCTGCAGTGAAGGAAACAATATGATCGAACAGCAGTTCAAAAACAACGCCTTGATGTGTAGTCCAATTGTTATTTTAGATGAAAACAACTGCTTTTGCATCACTGGCTACTCACAGAGTGTTTTGCAGTATGGTTGTCGGAGACATATTACTAAGATGCGGGAAGACATCACCAATGGGTACTAGGTAGCAGCATTGTGCATCGACTTATTGCCACATGTATCTTGAATAGAGTATTACTATGAGAGCTATTAGAATAGCATAATAATCTGAGACGTATTTGCCATCCGATTGCTGTCTAAGACACCAATATTGCTAAATGGTCCAATGCTGGCCTATCACGTAACCGTCCGAGCAGTGCTGAGCGAAGATCTATGCTACCCTGCAGGATTGTTAAAACGGATATAAAGGCAAGAAAACAACACCAATAAATCTCTTTATTCTTATTACTAAAGAACACGGCCAGTCTCTCTTGTAGTTTCGCCACACTGGTAATAATATGGACCAGGTGCCGTATTGCGGGCGAGCAGTTGGTGGGGGGCATTTCCGGTAGCAGGCGTGTCTGTTAGGCATTTAGAGGTTGTTACTATATGTAGTCAATATGCAGGTGGTTTCAGTAAAATGCTTTACCACTATATGAACCTAAATTTCTTCTAAATCGTGTTACCGAGATGCCTTATGCTGTTAAGATCTCTTGAACTTTGTGTCTTCATCTTAGCTTTCTCTTCAAAGACTGCTGGTCTGAATCTTCTGCTTCTGAACTTGCTGTTTCCCAACCCTCACTCTCCAAATCGGGGTCCTGTTCTTCAAGTCCCCAGCTGGCGCTCGTATTATCCTCTGAACCAATCGCCAGTACGGCTGTTATCCTTCAGACTCTTGACCATTAACGGCCTCTGCAGTGGCATAAGATTGCTGGAAGACTTCTGAGGTAAGCGGCCTACGACGATTTGGGTTGTCTCTCCAACGATATTATTATATGATAAGCCCAGGCGGTGTGACAACGTGCACACGACATGTTGGCGCGCCAGACTCAAGTTAGAAGGGAAAACAAGCACTTCGCGTTGCACATCCTGGCGGAAGAGAACCAGGTCCTCATAGTATTTTAACACTACAAGACTGTTCATGTCAAGCTGCCTAGAGAGGCGTTTGATCCTGTAGCACCTTCCGGGCTTTTCGCGCAATTGGGTATTCATCCGCGCTGATGCCATCTCCTCCGAGAGGACAATGGTTTCATTGTTGGTCGACTCAGCCAAGAGGCTAGCAATATCCCAAGTATGGCCTTCTGGAGTTGTCGCTTGAGGAGTGCCCTCCGTGTCGAATATAGCGTACCCAGGTGGCAAAAATATGTTAAATCTTCGTAAAAGGTCATGGCGGTCATGAAAGAGAAGCATAACTTGTCTCATAGCATCCGCAGCATTGATATCCTGATATTGAAAGCGCCTTAATATGTCTGAGAACTTATTATAGCGCCTATAGCCTGCAGTTTCTCGAAGATAGTCAATATAAAATAGAGCATTGAGCCCAATTGATACTTCAGTGCTGTTGTATCGATCTTGGAGAAGTTTGACTTCCTTTCCAGGCCAATCATTAGGTAAAAATTGGTTGAAGTCTTCCACAAGGTCCGGCTCCGATTCGAAAAGTTTAGTTACAGAGTCAAGGACCTCTTTGGTAGAAAGCTTATTCTGCTTAAAAGCCCGCAAAATGTCGAGAAAGGAATTATAAACCCCAGGTCTCGAATAAAAACGGACTTTGATTTTACCCAAATACTCCAAAGCCGCATTAAGCTTGGGGGGATTTCCATCGGAGGGTTGACCTGGGTCCCGAGGTTGATCAATTCTGGAGGGTTCCTGAGTCCTAGAAATGCTGAGTAACCCCAAATACTGTTCTCGGAATGCTCTCAAGTCCCAAGACTCCATTTCTTCTGTGACTTGTATCTGATTTTCTGCCGGGATAGTCTCATCGATCGTATCTATCCAGCCAATAATCTTGCGCTGTTGAGCGCTAACCATCGATATGGTTTCGGCGCGAATTGATGTAGCATCTGAGATGGCGGGGTAATCGGTTTTGCAAGTCTCGCTAAGCATGTTGAGGGTTCGGATGTCATTTATCGTATTGATTCGAGAAATGACTAAATCTTGCTGTTGCTCGCGTCCGACGAGATTTTTGGTAACTTGTTCAACGCCATCTACCAGTTCTCGCAGTTCGATAATCAGGCCCTCGTATTTCTTCCGATCGTGTAGGACCCAGAACGATTTGCGCTTCACCTTGGTGACCTGTTCATGGGCACCATCGGTGATTGACAGCCGCTTGAAAGCAGCCTTGAGCTTTGACACGCTCCTAGACTTGGCAACTAGCTGGACGCCTTCCTCGACTGCAACTTGTTTGGCTCCATATCGGCTACTCAAGCGTTCTGAGTTTGTGAGTAATTCTACTATGTGCTCTAGAGCTCGCTGTACTACAGCACAAAATTCGAATTGCTCAAGAAGACTGCGTCGATTCTCCCCAGCCTCACGGATCAGCCCCATGCTCTTGCCCCAGCTCTTCAGGCGACATTGCTCAAGGGTAAGCTTTAGATCGAGCTTCTCAAGATCCTTCTCCTGGTTCCTTGCAGCACGAATAAGCTCGCAAGCATCAATGCATCCCTTGAGAAGGCCAACCAAGGTCAATACACTTGCTATGGTGCCTACTACCTCAGCCATAAGAATGCGGTATGGATGAGGTGTATGTCTTGAAAAGAGAGACAGGCGATAATAATTCCTATTTCAAAAATTGTACAGGAGGGATCGGTAGGTTAAATCAGATTGCGATAGGAGATGGTTACAATATCTTGAAGCACAACTGTCCTCAAAATGGGAGATGAAGCATTTAACCCCTCCCTCACATCGGCCAATAGCACTGAACCTGGTTGCCTGGAACCTCAACCAATACGAAGAGATCCAAGATAGTAGGACTATGGTGGGGCAGGTTCTATGCCATGCTCGAAGTCTTTGCACCAAGTCAGACACCAACGATGATACATCAAATGTCTTCGCCAACCTAGTGAAGAGGCTTTTAGTTTATGGAAACGAAATAGACAAACCTGGAAATAGTGATGAGACTAATGTACTCATTAAGTTGGATTAGCTGAAACGATGATTGGCTGTAGAACATTCTAGCCTGCATCTACCTTATGCGCACGCACCGCATTGACATCCGACATCCCCTTCTGAGAGGGAAGCGCGGGCCCATCAAGGCTTTATCTAGGAGCCTAATAACTTTTGAAATCTCTTCCATGTTTCTTCTCGCGCCATTTTTCTTACACAAACACTCTGTCTCACGCCTACTCTGTGGGTAGCTCCTCTATGTGATTTAGGATGGAGGGTGCTACTCCTGTGGATGGCTCTCCGTCATGCAGTCACATCGAAAGTCTTCCTTGGTTGGTCCGCTATAATGTGATGGTAAGGCTCGACTTGTCTGATCTCAATGCATTAGCACGCGCGTCGCCAATTCTCTACCGGCAGGTTAAACAAGATCGCCCTCGCATTCTCTATGGAGAGCTGAAGACCATGCTTGGGAATACACTGGTGGACGCTTACGCAGTGTATCAGACATCGCGACCGCCATTTACGACTGTTATCAGGAATACTGAAGTTGTTCAGCCATTCCTTGAATCCTATGCAAACAAGCTCCAAACAGAGAAGGCGGGGCCGTCTCTAGGAGACCTTAGCGAAGAAGCAATCGTTGCCATGTGGACGTTTCAAACAACAATTGTCGCCCCTATTGTTGAAGTGTTTGCTCGGTGGACTCTCGGTAACATTTCGAATCTTGTTGAAACTCAAGATTATGAGGTATCTTGGCCGCCGGATGGAGATGGCCCACATGCGAGCCACCTAGAAATCGAACTGAGTGCAACTGAACGCATGCGCATCTTGAGAGGAATGTACCGTTTCCAGCTGTACTGTCATCTTTTTGGAGCCCGGTGCAGAGGCAAACCAAGGTTTGGCTATCCATACATAGAGTTAATCGATGTGATCGGACTTGTCCATGACTTATTCGAACCGTGGGAATTTGAAGAGTTTGTGTGTATCCAATGGTACGCTCGGATGAAATGGAAGCATATTTGCACAACATTTGGCGACGAGATAAATGAGACAAGCCCTCTTTTTGAAGAGGTGAGTCCTCCACCTCCGTATGGAAAACGGCTAAGTGCGAGTGGTAGGTTAATAGTTCAATCTCTATTCCCCATTTTGCGTACATGTATGCATCTAACAATCACTGGTTCAGGCGTGGTAGGACATGTCATCAGTGGTACTGCCTCTCGAGGCCTACGACCCTTACATGCGATTTTATTTGTTGGAGGTGATCACGCACATCGCATCAAACTTATGCACGAAGTATTGGCATGGCCAACAGAAGAATATATCGACTTTAGCCGTGTGTCGCCGTATTGGCAATTCAGCCATCGAAAAACCAACCGCTCGGAGCGCGATTGGAAGGAATTTAGGCGCGAACCTCTTCCATTTAACGGAGATGGTGAATCGGACCAATCCAACCTTCGGCCACCTGCAGCCTGGGTGATGCTTTGGGAGGGAAAGTACTCAAACATACGCTTTTTTGACAACGACTTATTGGTTTGGGGGTATGTGATGTGGGACAGGGATCGAATAGATTCTACTGGAGCCGAAAAAATCACCTTCAGTCAACGCCTCGAGCCCCTGCCATTGGGAAATTTGGATTACAGCAGCTCCGAAGAGGAAGAGGAAGAAGACGACTATATAGAACCGTATTATTACTCTGATGAATTAGAAGATGACGAAAGTGCGAGCTTGGAGACGGGAAGTTAGGGGGAAGAGGTTCGCCGGACTAGAGAGATACCGGTAGCATTGGGCCTGGAAAGAGATATATGCATGTAGCTAGCTGTGTTTGTTAAGACGGGAGGATATTTCTGGCCACCTTGATCAGCATCGTGAGCATTACGAGGTGAGCATGATCGGTGTGCAGCTTCACTCACACACATAATACTGAGCACTATTGACACGCATACACGCATTCCACAACCCGTCAATAACGCATTGTGCCGTGACCGTCTTATGCGGAACGGGTCGGTGAGCCCGCGCCCATCCAAAGTTGTTTGCCATATGTCGCTTTCAGCCTCAGTGGCGAGAATGGAGATATCGATGAAATAATCTAATACGAGGACGATCCTTGTTGTTTTACTTCCAAGTTAAGCGCAGATAGCTAGGGACGCTGACATTTTGAGAAAAGATACATTCCCTCCTTGTTCAATGAGTGTCTCTACGAGCCCCTGCCGAGCGTATTGTAGCGAGCACGCCGGCAAAGCGAGATTGGTTGGTGGCATCGTTTTTATTAAAATATAATTGGAGGTTTGGATGTAGGCTTTGTAGCTGTTTACATACTCACACTACTTGAGCACCCATTTATTGGCGTCGTGTGTAATACGACTAATCATTGTGTTATCTGTCTAGTCTTTGACACAATCGCCTGATCTTTCTTCTTATCTGCCATCTATTGTGTCTTTTACCATATACATTCATTGATCCGGGTTGAGTAAAGTGCCTATGCATGCGTGTTCAGTCGAAGAATCCCAAAAATCACACGTTAATTTCCGCTAGGACTTTGTCCTTTGTTCCCAGCTATAAATATTTAGGTTAGCAGACTATATACGATTTGAAGTGTCCAAGTAAGCTTACATATCTAGAAATAGCTTCCATAGAATGGAAAAGAGCAGTCCCTGGAGACCATTGCTCAAGATGCGTGTCGTCAGTCCGCGTCCAAGCAGCCCTGATACTCCGTCATCTCTAACCACCAGTCGCACAGCCTCTCCTGTAGAAATGGATTCAGTAAAATGATACGGCATAGGAAATGACAAGTGAAAAACTGGAGATGTTTTACCGTAAGACACTTTGGTATCATTGACCTGTCGGTAGGTCTTTATCACCCTCAAGGAGTTGGACACAGAATCTGATATAACAGATGCGACGAATCCTATAAAGGCCAAACGCAGTAACCAAAGAAATAGGTCGCTCTTTGGTGGTTCTTGGATGGCTTCTGTCAACAGATTATACTGCAGTAGAGTGAGCAATTCCGTCATCAATGTGCAAGAGAGATTATAGAGCTGAATCGTACCGTCGCAAACCAGGGATAATGGCCCACGAATGTTGCTCCTGCAGTAGCAAACGCTCCCCACCACAGGGTTCCAACTCCATGTTGCTTGATGCGTTGTCGAAGCAGAGCAGTTCCGCTGGGTCCTTGTGCCTGCAGGGTAGTCTTGAGGGTGTCAACAGGTGTAAGGATCATGCGAAACCCGGCGGCGCTTAGTATTAGGTATTCTTAGTAATTTGCATCTTGTGGCAAGTTAGATGGACTTTTCGATGTAAGCATACCAAAGAGAGGCAAAAACAGTCTTGCCAAGCGAAGGCAGGTCTTTCAGGTATGAGTTCGACTGCAGCAAGGCAAGAATTCCAGCATTGGCAGCTGTGTCGCCAAACCTCGCCACAGGTCCTACATTTTCACGTATCAAAAATTAGCGACCCTGGATAAATAACTACAAGGAATCATGAGGAACCTTACCTTGTATAAGTGCGGCTCCGAGTCCCGAATAGTATCGGCCGAATCCTCCATCAGCGTAGAGGATTTGTGTAGCACTAGTGAAGGAGGTTCCGAAGCGGTATTGATAGTTCATAATAGTCCGAAGAGGCTACATAAAGAACCAAGAAATTTAGTCGCAGCTCGGCATCGAGTATGACAAAGGAAATGAGTGGGCGAGCGAGGTTGTACCATTAGAAGCAGGACCTGTAGAACCATGGCAGCCGCGCCGCTCAAGCCGCCTCCAAGCGCTTTCTTGAGCGCTTTCTCCAAGTCAAACTGAGAGGCTTTAGTCAGATACAAGGCGATGTTGCCACCAAATCCGCGTCCGTGATACTAACGTTGACATCGCCTTCGGCATCAATCCAGCCCTTGATAAACACGGCAAGGACAAGGGCGGCAAGAATAGCCCAGAAGAGCCTCCATAGGTACCAGCCAGTCGGCTTCTTGTCGTTTTCTTGCAGTTCCAGTCGGGGCGGCTCCGATTGCTCTCCTACTAGAAGCGGCGTGTTTTCATCATGCCTTGATTGTGTCTCGACATCGTCTTCACGGGCCATGGTGTTGGCTTGCGTACCGTCGCACGAGGCAATAAAACTACGACGAACTAATGCCGAGAATTGCAGGTTTCACAGATAGCTGCGGCTCTCAAGACGATCAGAATATCACCAAGGGCTTGGCTATCTCATACGGCAGATACATGGAAGATTGGTGTCAGCAGAGGCAGAGCCCATACGTAGCGAATAATAATGCACCGCTGGATTGGTCATCACGGGTGATGCAAGGGCAGATGAGAATTGCGAAATCATGGTCAGCGCCTACATGAGATACGTGCACAGCCAAGTCAGCTCCGGGAATAATTGGACATTTGCTCCCCAAACCCGGTGTGTCGATACCACTCTGATTTTGGCACACGTGGGCAATATTCTGGCTTCAAATCGTTCTCTTATCATGGCTGGCTGTGCATCTCAAGCTTTCCCTGGTCACGAAGAGTGTGAAGGATGCTGTCTTGCCGGCAAAATGCTTCAAAGGGGGTGTCCGCCCTGCAGGTGACACTGTATATGTCCATGCTTGTGTGCGTACACATAGCGATAATGACATGAACTCAACCACGACTAAAAAGCAACAAATTCCTAGTCTCCTTAAAGCCCGTCATTCTCAATTCACATACATCAGACAAGCGTACCACTTCATACATTATATAGTATCATGAACCCTCCACCGTTTGGGGTGGAACGCAAGAGGGGGGAAACGGCATCTGCCCCATTGTCGCCTGCATTAAGAAAGTCCCAAACTTAGCATTGAGCTAGCAATATGTACATGTAGTTTACTGTATGCTTCATTCATGCCTCCCATTTTTAGAGTTGTATTGCGGAGAAATTTTTAAGCTCACACGATGATCGAGGCTCGGGGCATTACTCGATTAAGACTGCATGAAACCCTTGTCAGGTACCCCAGGGTAAACGTGTGTCAACAGAGTACGGCCTTGAACGGAGCGATGAGACAGGTTCCATCCCAACGTAATGAAGGAATATCAGATGTCTTGGAATTTTAGGGTCATCAGATACATTGATTAGCCAAGATGACTTGAGTTCGACAATGTGAGAAGACCAGTCCTCTTGGGTGCTTTGGACCGTCTACATAACTTAGTCTCTCTATGTTAGACATCTATCCGTCGTTATGTGGCGATACTTGGTCTGCAACCAACTATGGCGATATGATATTTAATGTCAAACTGTATTCACCTCAATTGCTAGCAAAACAAGTCCGCCTAGATAATATACACCAAAATAGCAGATTTATTGGCACTAGGAATATGCATCAGGCTTTGTCACTCACTTCACCTCTTGCAAATGAGCTTGGCGCGGGGTGAGTAGGTAAATGCAATACTTACGGCCCAGAGCATGAAGATGAGTCAAAGTCACAAGCTCCGTGAAGTAACATTGAGTCATCTCATTGCAATGTTTCTCCAACTTCAACCACACTTCAGAACTCTGGCTTCGGCACACACAGCTTCCATCAAGTCTCGCGGTCGCGGCCTCTGAGAAGCATAAAAACTTTCCGCCTCCAATTACACAATGCTCGCTTCCATATTTGCATTAGGATGGATGTATTGCATTACTACATGTATATTACATAGCTCATGTAGTTGTCGTTCGACAGAAAGAGAAACTCATATTATCAAGCTTGTTGTCTATTTAATAGATCGCCTCTTTCTACGGGAAAACCATCCTTTGACACCGTAAGTATGACTGGCCGGAGTTACAATTGCAGATACGATAAGAGAGCGAGTCATCCGAAGTGAGTCCAAAGATTCAGGGTTGCTAGCATCCTGTGACGCGATAGAATGCGCTACACGCGGATAATATCACTGAACACAGCTTTGCTTACCCCGAGAATTCAGTGTGATTGGGGAAAATTACTCCGAGTTTACAACCAAGGGTGGAGTCGAACGGGTAGAACGGCTGCAGTAGCATGTCAAGGGGGTGGGGAGGAGAATACGCCGAAGCGTATCCTACAGATTTTGGTGCTGTTAGTATGGAGATGAGTTTCCGTATTTCTTCCCATCCCAAGGGATGTGGACGGCTTCTCCACAGACATTGATCTTTAGCAGCCGGGGCTAATACTTATTATCGCTATCCGAACATATTAAAATCACTAGCTCGTGCCGCTTCTTTGCTTCGTATACATGTTAGGATTCATTAGCGCGGTAGGATGTTGATAAGGCAGTACAATTGTTGCCTACAGGTTGCATACGGGCAAGGCTCCGTCTCTTCAGATGGTGGTCAGTAACTACGTATACGAGTATATACGCATTGCACAGTCCTCACCTAGGAAGCGTTGATTGGAGGCGCTCGTTGAAATATAAGCAATGCGCAACAGGCCTCAAAAGCATTCATACAGTATAATTGACCGGATTCATGGTCCTGGAGAAAGCGTGAATTATATAGGAGCCACCACCAAAAAGTCTTGTACTAAGGCTGGCCAGGCTGACGAATAGGGAGGCAAAGCAAACAAAAGTACCTCCCACATCGAGTCTAGGTCAGACCCGTTGACTCACGCGGTGACGAGAATCCTCCTCGGAATCAGAATCCCGAAATTGATATCGGTGTAATTTTTATTTAAATATCTTTCAGTGAATTTTTCTGCCTTGATGTTCTGGTTCCGCTTGCCACTGTAAATCGTGAGATGGTGATGTAGACAACAGCTAGACTCACAGTATGAGGCTAGATTACGATCCAGAATATGCCGTTGCAGGCCTGGCATTGCTTGTCGCGCTGTGCTCCTTTCCGTATCTTCGAAGACTTCGTGTAATCACCCGTGCCAAGAATCCACAGCAGGATGGGTTCACCTACGAGGATGAAGATGGAGCTGCAAATGAAGACTCAATAGCTCGGTTCTCGAACAAAGCTCAATTTATTGCCATATTTGTTATCTCACTGTTAGCAATTGCACTCTCGTGCGCAGCTGCTATTTTCACCGCCGTCAATCATAGATTTGAACCTGGGTATTCTGGGATACCTCTGTTGGGGTCATGGTGGCTGTTTTTTGCCTGGGTAAGCCTCCATAGGAGAGAATCTGGGTCTCGAAGCTGACGAATCTAGATACTTTTGTCTTTGCAATTTTTGGTCGCATCACGAGAAGTTGAACCAGTAACAAGATTTAACAGCGTAACATCGAGCGGCAGAACATGTTTCTTGATCATTGGTATCGCTTCAATCACTCTTAACGGAATACGCGGCCTCTATTATGTGGAGCGAGACAGGCATTTCATCACTTCAATCTTGATATGGATTCAAATTGGTGCGGCGGTCGCTTTGATCGGAACAATCGCTTCCATCAAACGGCGCCCAGATGTGTTTGGCCCAAATGGAAGGGTCGTCGACTCACAGAGGACACTCAGTCTTTGGTCCAGATATAGCTTCGACTGGCCCATGAATGTGCTTCGGGCAGCAGCCTCGGAAAAGTTTGAGAATTCTAATCTACCCGCAATGGACTACATGGTGAGATCAGAAAACGCCACTGCAAACTTCAAGGACATCATCTTCAAGTCTGATCGCCTTCCGCTATGGGCACACATTATGTGGAAATTTCGATGGCGGTTCATTTGGATGTGGGGAGCTCTTCTTTTCACAAACTTCTTTGATGTCGCTCCCGCCTTTGCGAACTTGCAACTCCTTCGTCACCTCGAGACTCGCGAACATTTCGACATCATTGATCCCGTCGCATGGAAATGGGTTGCTGCAATCGTTGCTGCAACGATAAGCTCGCGCTTGGTCGATTCCAGAGTTATGTGGTCGGAGACAGCTGACATTGTTGTCCCGATGAGATCAACTTTAACCGGAATGATGTACGAAAAATTGATGAAAATGGAGGATTCGCTTCATATCCCTAAGGAAGAGTCTTCGGATCCAGACGCTAAGAAAGCCGATGATGGAAATGAGCAAGAGCAGCAACCAAACATGAGATCACAGCAGGACATTGTCAATATGTTCTCAGTCGACTGCGATGCAATCGCAAGATTTGGATCTCAAAGTGGGCAGTACGTAAACTGCGGAGGACAATTCACTATCATTACCATTTTCTTGTTGTATCTTGTTGGCTGGCAAAGCCTGTGCGCTGGAATGTTGGGAATTTTGGTCCTCTTTCCGATTAACAGAGCTCTTGCTTCACGATACGGCGGCAACCAAAAGATTCTCATGAAGCTTCGTGACAAGAGGTCTACGATAATTACAGAGGCTCTTCAGGGAATCCGACAGATCAAGTTCTCCGCAATCGAAACTCAGTGGACGGAGAAGATTGAGAATATTCGTGAAGAGGAGCTTTCGATGCTCTGGAGGACGAGAATCAACAACATTTACATGGCGATTGCTTCAGAGTTTACTCCCATTGTTTTGACGTCGCTTTCTTTAGCCACCTATTCATACATCAACGGGACACTGCTGCCATCAGTCGCTTTTACCGCCATTACTCTATTCATGTTCCTCGAAGGAATCGTCGGTCATATTCCACTGTTGTTGGTTACGGCCATCAATGCCAAGGTGAGCTGTGACAGAATCGACAAGTTCTTTCGCGCCCCAAACAAAACGGAGAATGTCCACCCGGGCCCTGCAGTGTCATTCCACGATGCGACCGTCACGTTTCCATTTGGTTCCGAAGACCCTACCGATGACCGCTTTGCTCTGCGCAAGATCAACCTTGACTTTCCCAATGGCTGCCTAAGCGTTATTTCCGGGCCTACTGGATCTGGAAAATCACTCCTCCTTTCAGCCATTCTGGGTGAGGCGGAGGTCTTGAGTGGTTATATTCAGGCCCCAAAAGCTCCTGCTCCAGAGCAACGATTTGATAGCAAGGCGACGGCTGCTAACTGGATCCTTCCTACGGCTGTTTGCTTTATTTCTCAGACTCCATGGATTGAAAACGCTACAATCAAGAACAACGTCCTCTTTGGCCTCCCATTTGACCCTATTAGATACGAGAAAGTCCTTGACGCTTGTGCTCTATCCCGAGATCTCAGCCTGTTTGAAGACGGTGATGAAACTGAAGTTGGAGCTCAAGGAGTAACTCTGAGTGGTGGACAGAAGTGGCGACTGACTCTAGCACGAGCATTATACTCGAGGGCCGGTATTATGATCATCGACGACGTCTTTAGCGCTCTTGACGCGCATGTTGGAAAGCACGTCTTTGCAAACGCACTTCTCGGAGAACTTGCTAAGGGCAGAACTCGAATTCTGGTCACT